AGCAGGATTTAAAACATTTTTATTCTATCGTTTCCATTCAAAGGACTGCTGAGTCTGATACATGAGCTGAATGCAATTAAAAGAAGAACGAGTGAAGGATTTAGTGGCATCTAGTGGTGAAGTTGCAGATTGCAACCAACTGAATACAGCTCAGCCTTCCAAGCTAAGGTAACAAAAGCACAACAACTCTTATATTCAGCTACTTACACACTAATGAAAACATACCTATGAACATTATATTATATTTCTGACAATAGATCCTCATCAACATTACACACTGGGCCTTTAATAACATATATTGTTGTAACTACACCCTTTAAACTGGCTAACTTTGCATTAGGTGACAGTTTTTATGATTTCTCTGATTCCCAGTTCGACCAGTCGGGCGGCTCCACTCACCAACCAGAACTTTGGCAGCCGGGTTGTCGACTCCGATGGCTTTCAGGATGGTCGCTCCGTCGTTGGTCACCGTCACCAAGCCTTCCTTCCCTCCGCCCAGCAAGATCTTGTCCTGAAGAGAAAGACGAGGACAAATTGTTCAACTACGAACTCAATTTAAAAGCTGTTTACAAGCAGAAAACAACCAGTTTTAAACAGTTTCTACATCATTTTTCTGCATAATTTTCCTTCTTAAACCAGATTCATTAACGCCTGAAATAAATGAACCAGCTCTAGAGATTAAGGTGACCTACCATCCCCTTCGGGCCCAGAGTGCTCTTCACCAGATCTCCGATAGCGATGGCGCCAATGAAGGACGACTGCAGAGAAAACACAGGTCAACAACCGGAGGTTCGTCTCCCTCCTCAACAGGCGGGTGACATTAAAAATACTTCAGTGATGTGACGAGTTAATAATAATAACAACAACACAGATAAAACAAACCCACCAGTCGTGCAGTTTCAGCTTTCTCTTCATCAGCTCCTTGTCTGAAGATGTTGACCGGGGCCATCGATAAGGACGCCTGCAGAGAGACGATCAATGTTTCCATTAGAATCCTAATGAGTTTTTATCAGTTAGTAAGGACGCCGCACGCTATAGTTGGACTTTAAGACCAATTTTACGTCCATGCCGGCAAAAAAAACCTAATAATGTTCTATATTGGTTTTTTACAGCGGGATCAATACAAAATTTTCCCCAAAACACATTTAAAATACACAAACTTATTACAAGTAACATTAACTTAATGAGTGCATTTAGTTTTAAGAACTCTCAAAATCATATTTGAGACATTTTAAAAGGCCTATAATACAATGTGCAATAAATTCTCCATTCATAAAGGTTAATAATATAATAATAATAATAATATTCACTTCTATTTACAGAAACTTAGAGAGTTGTTGATTTGTGTTACATGTTACTGAAGCGCTGCCATCTGCATTGAGCCTCATCCTCCCAGGACCCCCACTGACTTTATGTCTCTATATTTCTCTTTACCTATATTTCTCTACATTCACTGTAATGCACCAGTTTATCGAGGCAAAGTCCTTGTATGTGAAAACCTACTTTATAATAAAGCTGACTGTCACTGTGACACATGTGGACCTGATATACATTATACAGGCAGCTGAGTGGAAGATTAGTATTATCTCTGGCTCTGTGTGGATCAGGGCTGCAGGATGGTAAAGATAATCGGGATATTGCGGTTCTTTTGACAGATATGAGTCTCGATAAGTGGGAATAACTTTAATTTTAACATCTGGAGAACGACACTTACAGGCCGGGCATCTGAAGGCTGTTTTACCGATCACAGTACGAGTCCGATTAATGAAGCAGCCCTAGAGTGTACTAAATAATAGGTCAATAAAAACATCTTAATCGGTAGTTAAAATAATCGTTTAGGGGCTTAATGTACGCAGCTACAACACGATTAAGGCGTGGACGGAACTCTTTATTCCGAGCGTCAGTGAAAGCACCTTTCATCCTAGAAACCGCGAGAAGCTTCAAACAAACTGTTAAAAATCACTAAATAAAAGATAAATACTGATCAATAAACGGTGGGTAGAGGTAGTCGGACGGATAATGCATGTGTTGTGTCACTCACGCGTTGTAATTATATCTTTTTCCGCCATTTATCCACCAATGTGCACAATCATTGATCTGTTGCCACAAAGCCAGAGGCATGCTAACAATGCTATCTGAGCAGACGAGGACCGAGAGGACGAATAAAACACATAAACACAAACACAAACAACAAACAAACAAACAAACATCCGCTGTGGTAAAACCCCGACAGCTTCACTGCCCCCGTACAGACTGAAAACAGAGCCACTGTAACGCGGTTAGCTTCAGTGTTAGCCGTTAGCGTATTCACGGAGCCCATGTGCGTGCTAACCGGTTAGCGCCGGTTAGCTCACAGAAAGCTGCACGGACGCCACAAACAAACACACAAACGGTCTCTGCGGAGGTTAAACAGAGTCCCGGAGGGTTTAGACACATGTGTGTGTACAGAGAGCTGCTCTAACTGCGTCCGTCGGATCAGGAGAACATAAATAAACGTAAAGTCTCACCATGATGTCTGTGGTTCGGGGCTGAAGCTGCGCACGCACACAGAAGAAGGGCTGGGCAGGCTGGGATGACGCAGTTACGTACGAACGTAATGCTGCGTTCAAAGTAGATCGTCAAAGACGCACCGCGGTTCGGTTTCTTCACAAACCCCCAAAAAAGAAGACAATTTTTAAATTATATATATTATAAATGTGATAAATGCTGAGCAACTTATTGTTATTATTGTTATAAACGTAAATTTAGCAATAAAAACGTTTGTTTTTCGAATCATATTGAACAATATCTAATTTGAATAACAAAAAGCCAATTACGACTACATATATATATTTTGGCCGAGTGTGATATACACATTGCTCTTTTGTTATTGTTCTATTTGTATTGTTTGTTTTTGGCTTCTTATTGTGTATAAACCATACATGAGCCAATTCATAATTCTTTTTTTTGTAAAATAATGTTTCTTATGTGGTTTCTGTGACCTAAACTTCTCTCCAGCGGTGGAAAGTATTACCAAATATCTATCAATCATAATTATTGTTTTTGTTAAATTTGTTTCATATTTGGTCCTATATTTTTCTAAATAAAAAATATAAAAGAAAAGTAACAGTTAGTAGTCACACAGGCAATAATATCTTCACATGACCATAAAAATGTCGAACATTACTCAAGTACTGTACTAAAGTACAGATTTAAGCTCCTTGTACTTTATCTGTGTATACCCATATAACACATACATGTACAGTATTTACATAACGCTCATGTGCAATAACTGTATTGCAACTTCATAGCAATGTTATCTGTAAAAAAAAGTCTTGAGTTTGATAGTTAAACCTCTTCAGGAAGCACATTTAACTCCCCCAGTCACCTGGAAGAGCAATCTGGATCTAAGGATCTGTATGTTGTATCAAACACCAGATGGCATCAGAGGTCTACAGTAAACAAAATACTTTAAATGTAGTTCACAGAGACACCTCCAGGCGGCACTCTCAGTCTATAATGAGTGGACAGGAAGCACTTATTCAGTATAATTTAATACAATTTCATAAATTTTTAACCATCGTTTTAGCCTTAAGATGCTTTTTGGAAAGTTGCCTGTGACCATTTAAAACCACAGAGTTCAGACTGAAGCCAGTTGTTCTTTCAGAGGCACCATTTCAATTATCGACAAAACCACCAGTCTGTCTGTTTCTATGGATTTAAAGACAGTCGGACTGATCACGCCCGGAGTCACATGAGGACATCAGATCTGTTATGTAAAGCTTTTTTGTTACTTGAAAAAAAAAAATGGACGGGGGAGGAAACCAAATTTATTTTCAGGTAAAAAAACAGAAATATTCTCAAGAAATTTCAGATGTATACGACGTGAACTCCCGTCCTGTCATCATTCCCTCTTCTTCAGGCCCCGCCTCCGACGTTTGTGATTGGCAGCCTGGACAGGAAGGCAGTAGATGTGCATGGGGAACTTCCGGAAGTAGCTGCTGACCCACGGTCTGTGGAAGACACAACACGAAACAATCACTCCCTATTTACTGCACTACATTTACTGTCTGTTAAAAAGAAGTTGAAGGTTAGTATGGCAGAAACATTTTAATATAATTAACACAAAGTATTTGTCTTCAATCATGACCAATAAAGCTGCTCTTTCACTATAAAGCTCGGTTTATTGCATTATTACAAACAGTAGTTTTTCTTTGTGTTCTGTACTGTCAGAGAACATATTATACCAAACTCCCTTTAAGAAATATGACACATTAACAATTCCTTACGTGTCCCTAAAAACACGTAACTCTTGAGACAAGATAAAGTGCGTCATATGTTGAAATTCTTCTGGTCAATTCGGTATCAATCAGTCAGGATTTGACGGGCATTTTGGGGGATTGTTGCAAACTAAAACGCCTTATTTCACGGCAGCTTATCTAAAATAAACCATGATACATATTGTATGTTCTTCCAGTAGAATTGTGCGAGAAAGTGAATATTGCCAAACTGATTGTGATTTTTTTGTAAAATACATTAAAAATCAAAGGCAACTTAGAATAAAATTGTTAGTAGTTTGGAGTCCTCCCATCATGGTTCCAGCTTTTCTGTCATACCTCTTTTAAACTTCACACAAAGATTTCTGTAAAGGATACACTCTTCCAGCAAGTCTCCAGAAGCATTTTAGGAATTGAGACGTCTGTCAAGATGGCGCGCTGAGATCGAGTTCAGGGTCAAAGGCAGGAGTAGAGTGGAGAGAGGAGACGAGGCTCAAAGTAGAGAAATGAAAAGAGCAGACTGACTGACACACAGACAATCAGATTCATCTTCAGACCAAACTGACAACTTCTTCTGAGTGAGTTCAGATACAGGAGAGAAAAGTGGAAAACACTGCTGCTTCAACCTGTTGACTTATACACTGAATGTGAGTTTGACTAAAAATCGAAATCAGAGTTCACTGAAGTAAGTAGAGGAGGGAGGGGAGCCATGACTGACTGCACTTCAGATTCACTCAGAAAAAAATGGCTTCCAGATTAGAGGAAGATCTCTGCTGTCCGGTCTGTTGTGACATCTTTAGAGATCCTATTCTTCTGCCATGTAGCCACAGCTTCTGTAAAGATTGTCTGCAGAGCTGGTGGAGAGAGAAACAAAAACGCAAGTGTCCAATTTGTAAGAGAAGATCTTCAACGGAGCCACCTTTAAACCTGATGTTAAAGAACCTGTGTGAGAGTCTTACAGGAGCGATATCAGAGATCTTCAGAGGCTCTCTCTGAGAAACTCAAACTCTTCTGTCTGGACCATCAGCAGCCAGTGTGTGTCGTCTGCAGAGATTCAGAAAAACACTCCAACCACAGATTCAGACCCATCGATGAAGCTGCACGACAACAAAAGAAGGAACTTCAGGAAACTCTGGAGCCCTTGAAGGAGAAGTTAAAGGTTTGTGAACAAGTTAAACTAAAGTTCGATCAAACAGCAGAACACATGAAGGTCCAGGCCCAACACACACAGAGGCAGATGAAGGAGCAGTTTAAGAAGCTTTACCAGTTTCCACAAGAGGAAGAGGAGGCCAGGCTGGTTGCACTGAGGGAGGAAGAGGAGCAGAAGAGTCAGATGATGAAGAGGAAGATAGAGGCTCTGAGCAGAGAGATAGCAGCTCTTTCAGACACAGTCAGAGCCACAGAGGAGGAGCTGAGAGCTGAAGATGTCTCATTCCTGAACAACTACAAGGCTGCAGTGGAAAGAGTCCAGCAGTGCCCCCTGCTGGAGGATCCACAGCTGCTCCCAGGAGCTCTGATAGACGAGGCCAAACACCTGGGCAACCTGACCTTCAACATCTGGAACAAGATGAAGGACATGGTCTCCTATACTCCTGTGATTCTGGATATAAACACTGCTGGTTTAAGACTCATCCTGTCTGAAGATCTGACCAGTGTGAGAGTAGGAGAGAAACAGATGCTTCCTGATAATCCAGAGAGGTTTCATTCTTATTTCTCTGTCCTGGGCTCTCAGGGCTTCAACTCAGGGACTCACAGCTGGGATGTCGAGGTTGGAGACAGTACAGGCTGGTCACTGGGTGTGTTATCAGAGTCTGTCCAGAGGAAGGGAGGTTTACTCTCTGGATTGTGGGTAATATGGTTCTATGAAGGTCAATACATAACAGGATCACAATCAGAACCTTCCACTAATCTTGTAGTGCAGAAGAATCTCCAGAGGATCAGAGTGAATCTGGACTGGAACAGGGGACAGCTGTCGTTCTCTGAACCTGATACTAACACACACATACACACCTTCACACACACTTTCACTGAGAGGATGTTTCCATATATAACCACTCTGAAAGAAGTGAAGATATTACCAGGGAATTTCAGTCTGACAGTGGAACAGAGCAGTTAGGGATGAAGAAGATGATTATATGCATATTGTTTACTTCTTAAAGGAAAACTGAATTTAACCTGCTTCTCCTGTTATGTATTACTACAAAGATATGTTTACTCTTGTTTCAGTTATTGTGTTTATTTTCTGTTTCTTTTTATGTACCTTGACAATTTGCATTTCGTCTCTATTGTCAACCTTTTCATGTAAACTTATTTGTCACACTGGTGCACTTTCATATCAAAGGCAGTTCTTGGGTTGCTACCATCCTGTCTATGAACTCATATTTCACAGACGTTTGATGGACAGAATTTCTTGTGACTTTTATATCTTGTCTGTACCAAATGTTCCTACAGAGATTGAGAAAGGGGTGTTTAAGTACTCTGCACCCACAGACTGGAATATTCTACAGAAAGATTTTAATCTCCATGATCTGATTCCTTTGAATGCCTATAAATCAATTTCAAAAGATCTGGAGACCAATTTGTTGGGGTGTTGATGCTCAAACTGATATTGTTTGGATGCATGGCTTCAATTGCAGTTACTGTTACTTGTTCTCATTTTGTGCTGCTGCCTGTTATGGCCAGGACTCTCCTGAAAAATAGATTTTTAATCTCAATGTGACATTTGCTGGTTAATTAAAATATATTTAACTTACATATTATCTGGTCTTTATTTTTGGTTCATTTAGCCTTTTCAAATATGATGAAATATTTGATAATTTATTATCATTCTGACTTGTGTGTGGAGCTGTGAACACCAGAAACCACTTTATGGAAGCAGATGAGATTAAAATAAAGAAAAAATAATGCATTTATCAATAACTGTTGAGCTGCCAATCATTGTTTAGATCCAACAACCTTTATTCCAGATCATAAAGTTTCCAAACATTAAAATTAATGGTCATGAAATGTTTAAAATATGTAAAATGTACATTTCTAAATCAAAGTACATGAACATTTTTCTGTTAAATGTAATGAAGCTGAGATGATTCTGTCAGTAAGTTGAATTCTGCTGTTAGTCATTTAATCGCTCTACTTAAAGTGGACACCTCATGGATAAGGTGGACGTCTCAGTTTGGGTTCAGACTTTATATAATATTGGTGATTTCAGAACATAAATTAACATTAAAGTTAATGCTGATTGTACATTTACTCCTGTTTTATCAGTCATGTTTTAACTCCTGCACCACATTCAAACTACTTTTGAACATAAACATAAGTGTTGTAACAGCCAGTTGCACAATGTCAAAGCGCTTCGTACATTTTTAGCCTCAAACACACCCCTGTGTGTTATATCTAAAGCACATAGACATATATACATAGATGCTGCATTGGCTGCTTCGGCCTGTTGCTGACATACGTCAACATCGCCGGCGTATTGGACCGGGCAAGACTGACAGGTAAACAAGGGGAGCTGCAGCTTTTCTGGTTAAAAAGCACTATAATGTTTACATTTCTTAACCAATTTAATTGAGTCATTTGTATATTTAAAGGTTAATGATTTTTTTTTGTCACTAGTTACTTAGAATATCTATAGTTAATGGGCTCTAAAAGCGGTGAGACGATCAAGAGAGGGGTTTATGTAGGCTTACATAAATCAAATTACTTACATGTTGGACAATAATTAATTGTTATGATATTTATAATAATCATAATGTTATATATCGGTTATATATCAGGTCCTCAGTGTCAGCAAGTTTTGCTTTCATTTAGGGTTGAACGGGCTGCCAATGAAGCGTCTATGTATATATATGTCTATGATTCAGCAGAGAAGGTCTGACAAAGCTCCTCCTCTCTCCTAAATCAACCGAGACAAACCAGGAAACAGGTTGTTATTCTTCCTCACTAAAGAGAGACGCACAGACTGAAAAACAGTTGATCAGATTCACCTTCAGACCAAACTGACAACTTCCTCTGAGTGAGTTCAGCTACAGCAGAGAAAAGTGGATAACTACAACACTGCTGCTTCAACCTGCTGATGCTCCAAACACTGAATGTGAGTCTGACTAAAAATAAAAATGAAAGTAAAAGTGAATTGAAGTCAGTAGACGGGGGAGGGGAGCCATTAGCAGTGTAAGGCTTGATATTCAATAAATGTAATTTATTATTCCATACTCTTTTCAAAGGTAATGTACACTTTGTATTACTTTTCAGCTAAACTGGTAATTGCGTCCTTTCTCCCCACAATTCAGACTTCATGTGTGCCTGTGTGAATGTCAGGGTAACTGCCCAGTAAGTATAGCCAAGGCTTCAATCTAGCAGTTTTATTCTGAAGTCAGTATCCAAAAAAGTTAAAGGCTACATGGAAAGCACACCTCAAACTGATGACACTCAATCCAAGAACTTCTGGTATTCAATGAAAAGCGGAGTCCCAGTTAGGCGCAGGTCCCGTTCACTAGCTTGGTGTGGCTACAGGTTCTGACAAATAAATGCAGATCTCAATGACACACAGGGTCTGGTTTTTATAGAAGTTCTTTGGATGTATAAAACCTATTAAAACCCACCATGTCTCGAAATTGCTGCTTAGATCATACATGCAAATATGAATGTTTGTCAACACACATATTGTTAGATTGGTAAGATTCCGCAAAATTCAATCAAACAAATGATTCTTTGATATTTCGATAATTTTTATACAAGTAATATTCATATTTGTTTAAATAAACAAATTGAGAATTAGAAATGAGTTACACTACTTGTTACTGGAGAATGTAATATTATTACTGTAACATTAGTACTAGTAATGCGTTACCACCAAACACTGGTCATAACTGACTGTACTCTCCTTATGTTGTGTTTTCAGATTTACTGTAAGACAAAATGGCTTCCAGATCAGAGGAAGATCTCTGCTGTCCAGTCTGTTTTGATGTCTTTAGAGATCCTGTTCTTTTGTCATGTAGCCACAGCTTCTGTAAAAACTGTCTCAAGAGGTGGTGGAGAGAAAAACAAACACGTGATTGTCCAGTCTGTAAGAGAAGATCTGCAAGGGCAGAACCACCTCGTAACCTGGTGTTGAAGAACCTGTGTGAGGCCTTCTTACTGGAGAGAGATCAGATAGCTTCAGGGGTTCTCTGCTTTCTGCACTCTGAGAAACTCAAACTTTTCTGTCTGGACCATCAACAACCAGTGTGTGTTGTCTGCAGAGATTCAGAAAAACACTCCAACCACAGAATCCAACCTATCGATGAAGCTGCACAACAACACAAGAAGAAACTTCAAGAAAGTCTGGAGCCCTTAAAGGAGAAGTTAAAGGTTTTTAAACAAGTTAAACTAAAGTTCGATCAAACAGCAGAACACATTAAGGTCCAGGCCCAACGCACAGAGAGGCAGATTAAGGAGCACTTTAGGAAGCTTTACCAGTTTCTACAAGAGGAAGAGAAGGCCAGGCTGGCTGTACTGAGGGAGGAAGAGGAGCAGAGGAGTCAGATGATGAAGGAAAAGATAGAGGCTCTGAGCAGAGAGATAGCAGCTCTTTCAGACACAGTCAGAGCCACAGAGGAGGAGCTGAGAGCTGAAGATGTCTCATTCCTGAACAACTACAAGGCTGCAGTGGAAAGAGTCCAGCAGCGCCCCCTGCTGGAGGATCCACAGCTGCTCCCAGGAGCTCTGATAGACGAGGCCAAACACCTGGGCAACCTGACCTTCAATATCTGGAACAAGATGAAGGACATGGTCTCCTACACTCCTGTGATTCTGGATCCTAACACTGCTCATCCATATCTCTTCCTATCTGAAGATCTGACCTCTGTGAGACGAGTAGAGAAACAGAACCCTCCCGATAATCTAGAAAGGTTTGATAAATACTGTTCTGTCCTGGGCTCTGAGGGCTTCAACTCAGGGACTCACAGCTGGGATGTCGATGTTAGAGACAGTACAGGCTGGTCACTGGGTGTGTTATCAGAGTCTGTCCAGAGGAAGGGAGGTTTACTCTCTGGGTTGTGGGTAATATGGTTCTATAAAGGTGAATATAAAGCAGGGTCACAATCAGCTCCTTCCACTAATCTTGTAGTGCAGAAGAAGCTTCAAAGGATCAGAGTGAATCTGGACTGGAACAGAGGACAGCTGTCGTTCTCTGATCCTGATACGAACATACACTTACAGACCTTCATGCACACTTTCACTGAGAGGATGTTTCCATTCATTCTCACTCGGGATGAAGTCCCACTGAAGATATTGCCCATGGAGGTCTGTGTGACAGTGGAACAGAGCAGTTAGAGATAAATAAAATGATTAAATTCATGCTTCTTTCTTAAAGGGAAACTGAATTTAACCTCCTGTCGTATTATTATTATAAGAGTATGTTTATTTTTGTTTCAGTGTTTTTGTTTATTTACTTTGACAATTTGCATTTTGTCTCTATTCTCAACATGTAGTGTGTAAATTATTTGTCAAACTGGTATGCATTCATATCTAAGGCAGTTCTTGGGTTTCTACCGTCCCGACTATGAACTCATATGTCATAGAAGTTTGATGGACAGAATTCTTTGTGACTTTTATATTTTGTCTGGACCAAATGTTCTTACAGAGATTGAGAAAAGGGTGTTTAGGTACTCTGCACCCTCAGGCTGGAATATACTACAGAAACATTTTAATCTCCATGATCTGATTTCTTTGAATGCCTATAAATCCATTTTGAAAGATCTGAAGACCAATTTGTTGGGATGTCAGTGGTTAAACTGATATTGTTGAATGCATGGTTCGAACTTCAGTTTTATTCTCTAGGATGTTATATGTTGTAATACTGTCCATTTTGTTTTGTATCTGTTTACTCGTTCTTGTTTCGTGCTGCTTCCTGTTATGGTCAGGACACCCGTGAAAAATGTGATTTATTTATTTCTCAGATATTTAATCTGAATGTGACCTTTGCTCATTAATTAGAATAAAACAAATTTCACGTACATTGTTTCTGGTCTTTATGTTCTGTTCATTTAGTTTTTCTTTGTTAACATTATTAAATATTTGTTCATGTTTTGTATTATCCTCACTTGTGTGTGTTGAGCTGTGAACGATCAAATAACAAGAAGGACCAGCTATACACTCCACCACTGCAGCATAACGATCAACACTGCAGCCACCACAGCCCGGGCCTGCCAAGAGAGTATAGCCAGTAGCTTCCAGGTACCACCAGCACTGCCCCAAACCAATGAGCATCCGGTAAGGACCTTGTTTGTTTTTACACACAGCAACCAGGCCACAATGCTTCTATGTGTCCTGGCACCTGTGTGTAGCCTTACCTGTTGACTGTTGGTGGTAGAAAACTTGCCTGTAGATGAACAATGACAAGAAAGTCTTGTCGCCAACGCCGCTTTGAAAAGCAGCTAAGGCTGCCTGAAACTGAAGGAAAGAGTTTGTTGTCCAATGAAATGTGGAAAGTACCTAAAAATATTTCTGTGCTGCAGAGGGAAGATTTTAAACCTTTGCCATGGTAGTAAATGAGACAAATGGAAAGTGTGTGGGAAAGGAAAGGTTCATTGTTGATAAGGATGTGTTGTACACTGTAGATGATGACCACAGACACCTTGAAATATCTACTAGCTGTACATAACTTGTCATGCATCTGGCACAGGCACTCCCATGGGCTGGAAACCTTGGTTGTCACAAAAGATATCTTTGCATCAGTTGACGCTTTTACGGGCCCTGCATGTACACAGACATTCAGAAATATTGCACCACATGCCTCACATGTCAGAAAACATGCACTGCCCACAAGTCTGACATAGTTTTAACGCAGCCACTTCCTGTTATCTCCACTCAATACTGCAGGATTGCCATGGAAATCGTGGGCCCTCTGTTAAAACGCAGTTGGGGTCACCAGTAGATGTTGGTCATGTGTGACTATGCCACCCAGTTTTCCAGGATGGGGATACCGGAGGAGATTCTGACGGACCAGGGGACCAAATTCACCTCCAGGTTGATGCAGCTCTTCCATAAAGAACTGGGCATCTCAACCATCAAGGCCACATGGTTAATCCTAACCCTAACCCACCAGTAGTGCGACCAAGGATGCACACTTGGGAGTTCTACTTTCATTTACACATACATTCATACATTGGAAACAAACAGGGGTGTAACATTGTGGGCTGTTAAATAGTACATACTCACATTCTTCCAGGTCATGGGAACAGCATAGTTATGCTGTTTTGTTTGTAATATAAATTTTTATCTTGTTTTTTGTTAAAAATACATTTGTGTTTACAAGGCTAGAAATAATTTAAATAATAAGAAAATGTGTTAATTGTATTTCCTTATGAAAATATTATATTAAGCCTAGTTGGAGGGGCTGCCTTGGCCCTAGGGCAGTCAGTCTTGGTTTGGTTACAGCAAATCTAAAATCCACTGAAACATATGATTTGAGTTACGAAGGAACTCCCTCTTCTGATCAATTTTTAATGTTGATTATCAATTTTTTTCCCCACTTTCTGTAAATATTATTAATGTTTTGCACCTTGGGAGGCCGGTAATAAATTGTACCATCAATATCTTAAGACTACACCTGTGTTTTTCTGAGTTTTTGAGGAGTTTGTAATATAATCCACGACATACACACACACACACACACACACACACACACACACACACACACACACACAGTTATAGTTAAATAAAATAAACATATTAGCTTTGCATTGTGTTATGTACTTTTAGAGTAAATATTAAAGCAAACTCCCTTTAAGAAATATGACATACTAACAATTCCTTACTGATATCGATTTCAGGGTCACATGCAGGAGGACAGAAGAAGGAGGAGACGAGCAGGCTAAAAATAGAGAAATGAAAAGAGCCCACAGACTGAACACAGACGATCAGATTCACCTTCAGACCAAACTGACAACTTCTTCTGAGTGAGTTCAGCTACAGTAGAGAGAAGTGGAAACTACAACACTGCTGCTTCAACCTGTTGACTCATACACTCAATGTGAGTTTGACTAAAAATAGAACTCAGAGTCCAGTGAAGTAAGTAGAGGAGGGAGGGGGCCCACGACTGACTGTCCTTATGTTGTGTTTTCAGATTCACTTAGAGACAAAATGGCTTCCAGATCAGAGGAAGATCTCTGCTGTCCAGTCTGTCATGATGTCTTTAGAGATCCTAGTCTTCTGTCATGTAGCCACAGCTTCTGTAGAGACTGTCTGAAGAGGTGGTGGAGAGAGAAACAAACACGGGAGTGTCCAATTTGTAACAGAAGATCTTCAAAGGATGAACCACCTCGTAACCTGGTGTTGAAGAACCTGTGTGAGGCCTTCTTACTGGAGAGAGATCAGAGAACTTCAGAGGCTCTCTGCTTTCTGCACTCTGAGAAACTCAAACTCTTCTGTCTGGACCATCAGCAGCCAGTGTGTCTCGTCTGCAGAGATTCCGAAAAACACTCCAACCACAGATTCAGACCCATCGATGAAGCTGCACGACAACAAAAGAAGAAACTTCAGGAAACTCTGGAGCCCTTAAAGGAGAAGTTAAAGGTTTGTGAACAAGTTAAACTGAATTTCAGTCAAACAGCAGAACACATGAAGGTCCAGGCCCAACACACACAGAGGCAGATTAAGGAGCAGTTTAAGAAGCTTCACCAGTTTCTACAAGAGGAAGAGGAGGCCAGGCTGGTTGCACTGAGGGAGGAAGAGGAGCAGAAGAGTCAGATGATGAAGAGGAAGATAGAGGCTCTGAGCAGAGAGATAGCAGCTCTTTCAGACACAGTCAGAGCCACAGAGGAGGAGCTGAGAGCTGAAGACGTCTCATTCCTGAACAACTACAAGGCTGCAGTGGAAAGAGTCCAGCAGCGCCCCCTGCTGGAGGATCCACAGCTGCCCTCAGGAGCTCTGATAGACGAGGCCAAACACCTGGGCAACCTGACCTTCAACATCTGGAACAAGATGAAGGACATGGTCTCCTATACTCCTGTGATTCTGGATCCAAACACTGCTCATCCATATCTCATCCTGTCTAAAGATCTGACCACTGTGAGACATGGAGAAGAACAGCAATTTCCTGGCAATCCAGAGAGGTTTAATAAATTCTGCTCCATCCTGGGCTCTAAAGGCTTCAACTCAGGGACTCACAGCTGGGATGTCGATGTTAGAGACAGTACAGTCTGGTTTCTGGGTGTATTATCAGAGTCTGTCCAGAGGAAGGGAGACGAACTGTCTGGATTATGGGTAATGGGTTTCTATGAAGGTAAATATTATGCACGGTCACTCCCAGCTCCATCCACAAATCTCAGAGTGCAGAAGAAGCTCCAGAGGATCAGAGTGAATCTGGACTGGATCAGAGGACAGCTGTCGTTCTCTGATCCTGATACTAACACACACATACACACCTTCACACACACTTTCACTGAGAGGATGTTTCCATATATTCTCACTCGGGATAAAGTCTCAGTGAAGATATTACCAGCGAAGGTCAGTGTGACAGTGGAACGCAGCAGTTAGATAAAGAAGATGATTATATTCATATAGTTTATTTCTTAAAGGGAAACTGAATTTAACCTGTGTTATTAGTTCAAAGACATGTATTTGTTTTTCAGTTATTGTTTTTATTTTATTTTTCTTTACTTTGACAGTTTGCATTTTGTCTCTATTATCGACCTTTTCAGATGTAATATTATAGTTTAAAATTCAAACTAATTAAACTGTTGGTGTCCACGATAAAGACGAGTAGTGAGTGAGAGAGATTGATTTCAGTCCAATGCGCAAAACACTGAAACTAAACTACAAATGATTTTATTCTCACTGGAATAAGTTTACCTTCAATGTTTAATGAACCATATGCAAAAAAACTCAACAATTTTTAGCATTTTTCACTTTTTCCCACAATTTCATTGCAAAACAAAACTCGTAAAAACACCACAACATGCTGGGAAATTAGGCCCAAAACAAAAGGGATAGGCTATTCAGGTGTGTGTGTGTGTGTTTGTGTGTGTGTGTGTGTGTGTGTGTGTGTGCGATGTTTACTTGGCGACACGCTGGCTGAGGCTCAGGTAACAGAGGTTTGTTCTCAGCTGTTTGTTCTCCTGCTGACGGAGGAATTCGGCTTCTTGCTGCCGCTCGACGTCGAGACGCACAGACTCCCGAAGCTCCGCCTCAATACGACCCAACTGAAGCACACACACACACACACACACACACACACACACACACACACACACTGACTAACAAATATTGTGTTTGTGCCATAGAGCTCCATTGTTGATAGATTGATGACTAATAAAAAACATCAATGAACACACACTGTAGTTTGTTTTGACTTCACCACCCTGCTGCCTCGAATACTGACTAGAGCAACTAATGTGGATTAATCCGCCGCTGAAAATAGTCCCCAACAAACGATCAGCTGTTTTAGGAAATTGCTGAATCTTTTTTATATTTCTGAGCTGTTCTGTTAAATATTTACATCTTCAGTAGGAACCAATGAGCTTGGAGCTGAGAGCCACAGACAAGTAGGGGAACTATTGAGAGACGGACTAACACATTGTTGGTTTTGGTCCTTTTCATTGGATTTGTTGACAATAACAAAAATATAATAATAATTATAATATAATAACATATAATTTTATAATTAAAATGGCAGCCCATGCAGTTCCGAGATTTACCACAAGAGGGTGAAAGAGATTTATTTTTCTTAACTTATTTATAATTTATCCAAATACATTAAAATCAACAACAACGAAACACAAAATATGAAAAATAAAACATTTAAGAATTTGAATTGTTAACAAAACTACAGCAAATATCTGAAAATATAATTTATAAAAATAAACATTTGCTGAGAATTGACATTTTAATGCTGCTTTCTGACCTCCAGATGGCGCCGTTTCCCCCCACACCTCATATAAAGCAGCCAATTATTTTAAATGTCACCTCTTCCAGCAGACTCCTGTTGTCCTCCAGCCTCCTCTGCTGCTCGTACAGAGCCAGAGACGCTGGGTCAGACAGACGCCTCACTTCCTGTCTCTCTGCCTCGTCCACGCCTGGTCTACCTGCGCCACCTGTCTGCTGCTGCTGGACGATCGGAGGCAGGAAACAGGTACTGACGGACAGAGGGAGAGAGTGAAGAGTTCATATTTCACTTCATCATGTTGTTATCTTGTCAAGCAGCATCTGAGTGCTGAGTGGCAGAACTAATGAACACACACACACACACACACACACACACACACACACACACACACACATACACACACACTTCCATGTAAACCAGTTTCCATTCAGATTTGTTTACAGTCGGGTCTGATCACGGTAACGAATCCCTCTGCCAAGGTCGTGCTTCAGTGGAGAGTATCTCTCTCACACACACACACACACACACACACACACACACACACACACACACACACACACACACACATACACACATACACACACACACCGTTATCAGATTGCAGACAGCAGCAATGTTTCCATCCAAGCTTTTATCTGGATAAATCCTTTATTTCTTTTTTAACAATTCCTAGAATCCATCATTAGTAGAAAAGCATCTCTTATATGACTTTATATATTTTATGTAGACTTATTAATTTTAAGTGAGAAATAGTCAACAACAGAATCTGGATCCATATCTGATCAGCACTGTTTGACAGTTTGATCTGAGTTTGGTGCGTTGAGCTGGACGGACTCACTGAGAATGAGCTGTCAATCACAAGGTAGCCCCGCCCTAAAGCATACCCTGCTTTATGGTCTGTTTTACTCTAAATGGGACCATCATTTACTAAATGAACATCATGCTGTATGGAAGAAGACTGAAACTAGAGACTGAGACCAGAAACTCATCAGGAAACTGTTTACTGAGGGAATAAATCAACTGAGAAGTCGACTCATTTCTCTATAAGACTCGATACTATCAGACTCCACAACACAAAATAACACAGAGACTTTCATTTAGCCTCATTACGGTTGACCAACGAAAGTCCACTTTTCACTTTTCAAAGCAGGAAAAGCACTAATAACAATCACAATGGCTGCATTCCATTAAGTGTCCCAGTAAGCCACACGAGTCACCTAAATGGAATGCAGCCAATATTGACGTTATTGATCCCACCGCCTGTTCGAGGGGTCTGTCAGCCGTCCTGTTACCTGTGCTCTCTGCTGTCCGACTCCTCCCGAATCTGAGAGAGAAGCCGACCTCCCAACCTGCCCTGCAACACACACACACACACACACACACACACACACACACACACACACACACAACACACACACACACACACACACACACACACACACACACACACACACACACACACACACACACACACAGAGGATAGAGTATCAGTTAATTACATGTCCTCTGAGGACTGACTGAAGCCTGGAAGAGGAGGAGAGACAGTTTCCCTCCCGATGATAGTTTCCGTGGTGACAGGAGACATCTGTCCGTCAGTCTCCAGGGCTGACAGACGACACCGCTGCGCGCACACACACACACACACACACACACACACACACACACACACACACACACACACACACACACACACACACACACACTCACAGACAGCTGAGTAGAGATTAGTCACCTGTATCGGTTTAGGAACATTACACCTGTTTTTTGTTGAGTTTGGATTAACAGTTTCTCCCTCAGAGATCCATAAAGCTCCAATCACATTAAAATGTTTCGGTGCCAGCGCCCCCTAGAGGCTGCAGTGTTCAGTACGGTGCGTAAAATGAACGTTAAGCACGGAACGATCAGCGTACTGATGATTTATATATTCTTAAAATGTAAAATTTGTTAGTAAGTAAAAGTAAAAAAGTAAAAGCATGTAAGTATAATAATTATTAAGCTGTTATTAAGCTTTTATATATGATATTAGATTATTATGACTTCCTGCATTGAAACTGTCGTAGTGTGCAACTAATGATTATCTTCATTACGGATTCATCTGCTGATCATTTTCTCCGTTAATCCATTGATTGATTGTAAGAATGCTAAAAAGTAGTGAGAAACACCTTCACAGTGTTTGTTTTTGTTTGTTTCAACAGTCCAAACCTCTGAATTATTACAAATACATTCAAATTATTCAAATAATAATCAGTGATTATCAAAATAATATATATATATATTTAAAAACGCTCGTGTACGGTAGTTTAAGAACCAGCTGATTAATGGTTTCAGCCGTTTACAGGGTTTTTCCTGTTAATTATTATTACTTAATAACAAAAATAATAATGTAAAATAGTGTGAAAAGTCTGTTACTGTAAATAACTGTAAAATTGCTGCTTATTTACATAAAAAGACATTTGCAAATCTATCATTTTGTTGCAAATATTTACAGTTTATTTAATAGATTAAACTGTTAAATTCAAGTAGTTTTCGCAAAACAAAAACGTTGAATAAATGTTCTTTTATCAGTGTATAAGCATTGGTAAACATTTTTATCAGTGAAAACAGCAATAATTACTGTAAGTTCACAGATAAGACTCAGATTAAAATAAGAGAGAGCAGTGTTCACCTCTATTTACATGTGAAAATATCTTTAATTAAACATTAAAAAGACCAAAAACGACAATGATAAAAAGATTTTATGTCAAACTAAAGCTAAAAACTGTAATTTAAAATTAGAAAATTACTGTACTTACTTACTTTACTTTATTTTATTTAAGTCTGAAGCGTCCAACAGAGAATTATGACCTCAAAGCTCCATCATGTTAGTTGTTTGACCAGAACTTAAAAAAACTGCTTCAATTCTCAAACTTTACGGCTCCTAAACTGGACGAATATAAGCGTCAATAATCGATTTAAAGGGCCACTGCAGGGGATTTAATGTTTTAGTTCATTACCTACAAATGCTTGAATGTAATATGTTTCCGTTCTTGCTGAATATTTCCCAAAATGGCAAAAATGAATGGAAAATATACATAGTAAATTTATAATAAAACATAACACAGGCCCTTTAAAAAAAGATAAAATAATGTTAATTTAAGGCCATTTTCTATTAATTCATGGTGTAGTGGTGCAGTTTATTCATATATATATATATTTAATGGTATATTCAGTTTTCTGTTGCAGAGAAAGTTTCTTCATTTATGACATTTTTAAGAAACTAAAAGTTAAAAATGGCCACCGTCCTTCCAACAGAGAATTATCTGAGAAATGTTATTTAATGAGAGAAAATAAGAAGTGTTGTTGAATGTAATGGACCTTTATAAGATAAAGCTCTCAGTATCAAACAGGTTAATGACCATTAAGACAGATACTCACAGTGTGGACGTCCATCGCCGGGTGTTTTCTGCTCTCCTGAAACGTTACCGTCCTCCCGGCAGCTGAGACGTTTGTCTCAGACACCTAATTAGTTCGGTGTTTCTGTTTCACCTCCTCCACCTGAATTAGTCATCAGTGTGTGTGTGTGTGTGTGTGTGTGTGTGTGTGTGTGTTGTGTGTGTGTTTACAGCTGAGGGAGTTCAACAACACTGTCTCTTAAAAAGTTACTTTCAAATACACACATTGTAACACGTTATATAATTAAAATACAGTGTTTAATACAGAGGATTTTTAATTAAAAAAAGACTAATTGTGAAGTGTAATAAAATAATTTCATAGTTTAAGGGTCCATGTTGATTTCCTACAATAAGACAGATGCAATTTGATTTAAAAACATTTTTATTTACTTGTTTTTATTTCACATAAAGCAGAGCAGTCAGGATTCAGTCACGTTCAGCTCATAGAAAGGATTCATTTGAACAGTTTCACACTCAGAAATAACTAATAACTTGTTTTTAATAAGTAATTTTAACATTTTAACATCAGTCAGACAAACTTCTCATATTTATTTGTTTAAATAATTACCTTTAAGTTTTGTTGTTTTAAACAACAACAACAACGTTCTGAGATCAAAATTTAATCTTTATTTCTTTTAGAAAGTTCTTAAATTCGCACAATTTTAACCTTTTTCTTGGAATTTTGAAAATAATCCCAAAATTTCTTCCACACAGTTGAGATCAGTGTTTTACAGCAGATAAACGTTATCATAAAAGTCACTTTTCAAACGTATTTATCTTTTAATGAATTGATTCACAACCTTTTTGGTGTTTGAACCTGCAAAAGCCTTGTCTGATATTTACCTTTAAGAGTTTTTACAGGCCTAAAAAACAAAAACAAAACCTCCTGTTTATGGATTCTGTAAGTTATTGTAATGAGAAATGTTCTCAAAATAATGATTTAATGAGTCATTATTTTAAGATACTAAGTCATTATTGTGAGATAATAAATAATTATTTTAAGATACTAAGTCATTATTTTGAGAAAGTTTCTCATTATAATGACTTACAGAATCCTTTTTCCCGTCATATTGGCAGAAATGAACTTCCATACCTTTTGGTGCTTTAAGCAGCAAAGAAACAACTAAACTGCTTTAAAAGATTTCTGTGCATCAATGTTAAAGTAATTTACATGTCTGACTACTGAAAATGAATAATTTTAAGTGCTGGATGTTAAATTGTCGGCTCACTTTCTCACAAAGCGAATAAAAGACAGTAAAAAGAAATTAAATATTGTGTATCTGATCTGACTGAACTTCCACTGGAGAACATTTATAAGATTACGCAGTAAAATCTATCAGCAAAAGTGACTCATATCACAATAAAAATGCATTCGCAGCTTTAAAAAAAATACATAAAAGCAGAAGTCTGCGTCTATTTCTCTGATTGTCGTCTGTTTAATATAATAAGTGTCTACGAGTCTGTGCAGCGTCTGTAGAAGTGGAAGTAGTAGTCAGTGAAGAGCGCCCCCGCGAAGTGATGGTCAGTACTGCAGTTTGCTTGACCCTGAGGAGAGACACATGTTATATTATACACTGTAAAACTAAATCTGTAGGTTTTCAGGGTTTTTCTGTTTATTTTATAGATTTATTTTACAGATTGTTTACTGTATTTTTTAAATAATAATACAATTACAAACATATCCTGTGAATTTAGATGTCTGATGGCAAATAATGTGAAAAAACTGTAAATAATCATTAAATTACTGCTTATTTAAAGTTAATTTCCACATCAAAAGACTATTTACTGTTTATTTAATAGATTCAATTGTTAAATTCAAGTTTAATACTATTAATAGTTTTTAATTATGTAAAATTACTGACATTAACAGTAAAAATATTTTTATTTTTTGTGTAATTTTACATGGATTTGTTTCTTAATTGACAGATGTTGTATAATTATGAAAGTTTACACAACAGAAACACTGAATAAATGTTGTTTTTCAGTTTATAAGTGTTGGTAAACTGTCCAAATACAGTTTATATCAGTGAAAACAGAGATTTATTGTTAATAATTAAATGATAATAATAAATGTTTCTTACAGCCACTGTGGAACGAAAGTGGTACGAGCTGTGATAAAGACGAGACACGTGAAGAGGCCATTCGTGTTCGCCCTGCAGAGACAGACAGACAGACAGACAGACAGACAGACAGACAGACAGACAGACAGACAGACAGACAGACAGAAACAGTCAGTTCCAGGTTTATTCAACAGTTTACAATAAAAACAACGTGTCACTGACTCACAACTTCATCCTCTTTGCCTTCAACTAACAACTATTCTCATAATCAATGAATCTGCAGATTATTGTTTCCATTAATTGTCTATAAAATGTCAGAAAAAACAAAACATAGAAGAGAATTATGCAAAATTAACAAATTTCTACATTTAAGAAGATATAATTGTGGGAATATTTACTTGAAAACTTACTTATATGATACATGGAGCATCAAAGAAGTTCTTTAATTATAGTAATTTTAGTTTTGGCACATTAAATACATTTTAATGCTAATATTTTACTACTTTTCACTGCAGAATGTTTAATATCCGAGTATATCTGCTGTCTTTTGTGTGTCACTGTGATATTCGTGAACTGTGATTAGCATGTTGTCGTCCCGACGCGAGGGGGAAACCCTGCCGCTCATCCATTACTCATCAGTGTTTCCCAACACTTCCTGCATTATTAACTGTGATGGTAGCTGAGTTGGTGGACTGGAACCTCAGTGACCCTAAAACCAAACTCACAATCCATTTTACCTCAATGAGCTCACAGTTCAGGGCGGGAAATTACACAAACAATCTGTTTAAGGGGAGCCGTCAGGTTGCCTTCGATAAGTCTTTTTACTAGACAGGAAATTTTAATTGTTGTTTACTTAAGAAAGTCCATTTTCTGCCAATTTATAATTCAACTTATGCATTATTTTAGAGGGAAATATCGTACTTTGTGTTTCTTTTATATCTTTTCTTAACACCATTTTAAATTGCCTTAATTCCCCGAATCGATTCAATTCCGATTTGATTCGATTTAATATTGATTGGCATATTTCAGTTGCACCAGTTTTACTTGGATGTGAGAGATTCTCCGAGAACTAACGCTGTAAATTGTACAATGTTAACGTGGTGAGTTATTAAAAATGTAAATATTATATAAATAATTGACCCTGCAGCAGGTCAGATGATCCGAGCGACATTGTCAATAAACAGCCTGACTGATGAGGAATTATTGATTTCATTCAATTTTAAATCCTTTTTTTATAATAAATAAGGTTGAAGTCAGGTGGCAAAAGTACTTTACTCGAGTTGAAGTGTAAAAGTACAGGCTGAAATTAAATAAAGGTAAAAAGTACTCTGTGCAAAGCTAACTGGAACTTCAACTTATTACGTCTTTTAAGCCGATTTTGGCGTTTTCGTCTCGTTACGTTTTTTCCCTAAAATGCATTAATACTAAAGTAACCAGCTTGTTTAGAAAATGTAAGGAGTCGAAAGTTCATATATATCTTTGAAAATATAAGAATACATAAAAAAAACGCTGTAAAATGTTGGTTGGTGCGATACAAATAAATTAGCCTAAAACTAACGGCTAACACAATATGAACCAGAATCAGCTTTACATTGTGAACGTTAGAAATAAAGCTGTGATAGCCTAAAAGGTATTAAAAATCTATTATTTACCTGTGTGTTTGAAGGGTATCTGGTTCCAGTGACAGTGTTTATATCCAGCAGAGCAGAGCAGGACGCTGACTCATCAAAACTACACAGGTGAACCACCAGCAGCTCGGTGGAGCTACGAAGAAATACAAATAAATACATCGGAACATTTTTAATTTCCTGTCACGTCTTTAGTTTCTTCTTCTTAATCAGTTGACATAAACTGTTAACTAGCTGACAACCCAGCAGCCTAGAAAACACACTGACACACCAATTCAACACACATTTAAGATAATGTTTTGGTTTTTTTACAATCAGGACTTACTTCATGATTAAAGTGACTCTCATGTTGACTGGAACAAACGGGCTGATGGGAACTCTGTAGGCGAATCTACCTGGTCTGAAGGAAACAAGACGGAGTGACGAGAGGCTGAATCACAACTGTGTTTTTTAACAAGCTTTCATGAGATATGATATAGTAATGATGGTTTCTTTACTGACCCACATTCGTCTCTCAGGCAGTATTTTCTGTCAATCACCTGCTGGTTCTCTTTGATCATGAAAGACTGGATGGTGGTGTTTGTCCCTGATGGAGAGAGAACAATAGAAGATAGATGTAAAATTTGGTCTCCAACTTAATACAACTTCACCCTGAAGCTCTTATTGTGAGTGAAATGTTCAATTCAAGTTAAAGAGTTAAAGCTCTAATCTGTAACACGTCCTCATTAAACAGTGTATAAGCTCTGGCTCTATGTTCTCTATGTAGTTGAGTTCTTCCATTATCCCAAATGTTTCCAACAATGTTCAAACTCAGAGAAATCTGTCATTTTATTCAGGTAACGCTGCGTTTCACCGGTCGCCTGTCGATGGCGTCATATCCCCTTTGTGCCTGCGTCAGCGTTGTGGTTGTCTGCCAGAAGCTGTCATACATTGACTGTTTATCCAGTCTGAAGCCACATTGTTACCATCCACTGTTTAGATCTTGGTGCTTTTTAACTCTAGATTTGAACCGGATGAAGGATTTTAGTCATCGGACGTCTGGATCTTAAGTTATCAGAGAAACAAGCTGAGCTAACGTTAGCAGCAGCTCGGCTCGCAGCCCCTCCGGGACGTCCTTTGTCTGTCCAACAGCGTGGGAGAAGCAGTGATTTTTAAGGTGGAACTGCTTTATTCAGTGTGTTTAGTGGTTTTAATCAGCGGGTCTGTTTGTGTTGGAGAGGAGGAGACCTCTGTGGATCATTGGGCTCCCGGTAGAAACCTCCTGAACCATGAACACTGAAGGAATCCTAACTAACTGCGCTACTTCACCACGTCAAATGAATTATTGTTTCAATGTTCTTGCAGCAAAAATTAGGTATTGCATATTTGATCCTCGCTAGCGGCCTCAACATCCATTCAACCTAATGATCTGTGAAAGCAGATTTAAATGTAGAAACTCACAGTCTCTGGCACTTTTCAGCTGGTGATAAAGTTTTTCTCTTCTTCTTTCTGTAAAGCAAAAACATGACATACTCTTATACTGTGAGTAATGACGGTTAATATCCAACTTGTGTCTTTATGTTTCTTTCCTGTATTTCTGTATCTGTCAGAATGAATCTGCTGTGTTTACCTGTCAGATTAGACTTTTCTGCTGCAGCTGATTCAGTGGAGGTGATGTTGGAGTCGGTGCTGCCCCCTGTTGGTGGAGTGCAGCAGTACACCTGATCACAGTACAGCAGGTCACAGAAGTCCACGTCTGGTGGCCAGGGTCCGGGTACAGTGGTCGGTGTGACTGGTAGAGAGAAGTGACACTTATATGTACATACAAAATTATCTGTTTAAACCTTTTATGTGAAGATCAATATTCATTCAAAAGAAGTCAGTGTATTGTTGATTAATCAGCGGATATCTAATATTACTTTGGACTTTGGATTCTCTGATTCTCTCTAAATATTATTATTCAGATTACATCCTATTGCCTGTAACACACACAGATGAATTTTACATCCTCTGTGTATCTGTGTGAATGTGAACAGTGAGAGGTTTGTAGGTTACCTGTGCTGCTCCAGGTTGTGGTCTGCGGAGGAACCACGCTCCCGTTACTGAGAGAGTAAAAACAACAATCAGCACAAACAACCACAAACAGAACACTGAAGTCGTAGTGTAATGAGATAATTTATTATTATCGGTAAAAATAATAACCCCATAAATGTAGCTAGGAAACTACCAGGGTTTTACCAGGGGGTTGCCAGGCAACTGTCAGTGGTTGGTTGAATGTAACTAGGTAGTTGCTAGGGTGTTGCAAGATGGTTGTTACAGGAAGTGTTACTAGGTGGTTGTTAGGTGACTGTCAGTGGTTACTATGACGTTACTAAATAGCTGCTATGATGTTACTAGGTGGTTGCCAAGTGATGATCGATGGTTACTAGGATGCCACCAGTCAGTTGGTTGTGTGTTACTGAGTGTTGTATGTTACAAAGGGAGTGCAAGAGTTGCTGGTTGGTCCGATGTTAATGGTTGCCAGGGTGATAATGGGGTTTTTGATAGGGGACATTTGGTGGTTGCTAGGTGTCACTCTGTAAATAAACAGTGTTTCGTATTACAATAAAAAGTTGTTTACCTGCTGCCGGGAAATGCATCAAAGTCTCCGTCCTTCAAATTTAGTAGGTACAGAGCAGTGATAGAGATGATGCTACACACACACACACACACACACACACACACACACACAATATTTTAGTTTTTCAAAATGCACATATTATTTCTATTTCACTAAAACAGGAAGTGACATCATGCCTCACCAGAACGCCATGGTGGCCAGCAGGGTGAAGACGCTGGCCTGGAAGACTTTATGCCGCAGACAGTGTCTGTACTTCTGACTCCAGCCTTCCTTCTGAACTTTCCCGGTCTTACAATCGTCAGGACTCGACGACATCGACACGCTGCTGTGTTTTCTAGGTTTCCTGTTGGAGAAAACGCAAGAATTCCAGCTTTTATTCTGAAATTACTGATAAAATTGCAGTTTTTTCCCACCGTTCTGCACCGAAACATAGCTAATCTTATTCGGTCTGTGCCTACATTTCCCACAGTACCTTGTACCGTGACCGCAGTGACCTGTTAGTGACACCTCAACCTTGGTTTTTAGCTGCAGTTAATTCTTTTAAAGCTGCTGCTCTTCATTCACACAGAAGCCTTCAGAGAGTCCTTGAACTGTGATACGCTGATAACACAGTAATCGGCTATTATGCAACACACACACACACACACACACACACACACACACACACACACACACACACACACAAGTACTTTTCCATGGCATTGAACACTGTACAGTATTACCTATTACCTGCACTCACACACAGAAATTATGGATTTATGTGATTTTAAGAGGAACTGAAAACGTTTGTCACAGTCCAAAACTTACTCAACGAATCACTTTTAAAAGTGAAAAACCCACTGGTTTATTTTATATTATTACTAAAAAGTAGAAACAAATGTCTAAAGATTTATAAAGAAAATACAAAAAAGAGGAAATGTTGTCTAGTTTTAACAATATATTTACGGGTGTTGAATGATTATTATTGTAATAATATTATGTCATGTACAATGTTCACATTTTCTAACGAGATATTTGCTATTTATGTTAAGTTTAAAAACAACTTTGCCCAAATTGTTCAGCATCGAAACTGACCGTTCTTTGACATTTACAGACATTTTTAAAATGTTTAAACTCCTAAAGTCGACTACGCTGCAGATCTAAACCCTGCTAATATTATTAATGTAGTTCTTTTCTTATTTTATGCACGTTAACTGTCTGTATTATTAATGTGGTGAATGCTCGTTTGAAGCTTGTTTAAATAACCAGCCATCATTTGCTGAACATGACCACAAACTACAGCTTTTGTCCGCCCTTATGAATCTATAATACCAGATGAATGAATGAACAGATGAAAGGATGAACGTACCCGGTGGAGCGCAGGCTGCCCGTCAGGCTCTTTAGCTTTGCCAGTCGGCGGTTCCAGACCTCCAGCTCTATGATTCGGGTCTCCAGGTTGTCGGTGAGCTTCGACAGCTGCTGCACCGCCCCGACGTTCTCCATGAAGATCTGCTCCTGGGGGAGAAAGAGGAAGACGAAGACGAAGACGAGGGAGTCAGAGAAAGTACACAAAAACTTTATTTCTGTTTCCTGTGAGATTTCGTGCTACTGGAACAGAGATAAAACATATTTAACATCATATACCTTTACCAGGTTTGGAAGGATGCTCGTGGCTACTCATGGGAAATGTAGTAAATAAAGTTGTATCTTTGTTAAAGTCGTGTGTGCGCCAATGTAGTCGATGCACTTTTATTTTACAGTGTGGAAGGGAAGCACCAAAATGTTTTGATGAAAAAGCATTCAGTAGAAAATACATTAAGAACTGGAGCTGAAATAATTAGTTTATTAGTATATTATTAGTATAATAATTAGTCACTTTAACCACTGGTTTGATAATTAGTGTAATTGTTTAAGTAAAAAATGAAAAACGTCTTCTGCTTCCAGCTTCTGAATGTGAAGGTTTGCTCTGTTTCTCTGTCTCATTTCAGCGTACATTAAAAATCTTGTGTGGATGTTGGACTATGTTACTTATTTCTGACCTATAATAGACTAGAAAGAATAAATAGCTTATATAATATAGCTTTATAAAGCTAACCAACGTTTGGTTAAGTAGTGGAATGACCGCAGTTTTTATGGCATTATAATGTTGATAAGCGTGCTTTAGTATGGAGGCTTTAAAGGGTCACAAACAATCAAATATATCAATATTTGAACATATCTGAACTAAAAAGACATTATTGTGTCTATACATTGTGGCGTTGTTTATACCACTGCTCCCGATCTGTAATAACCTTTGAAATTTGTAAAACCTTCAAGTAATTTCAGCTGTTTGTTGAAGCCAAATCTTAAATGTCACATACTGTCCAATAAAGATAAACACAACAAGAAGAAAGATTACCTTGTCCACCATGAGGAAGTTATGAATCTTCTCTCCGTCGGAGCAGCTGACGTCTCCGACCTCCTTCACCGCCGACGGCAGCAGCTCCTTCACCTCCTGAGCTATTATACCTGAAATATCATTTTATATAATAATGCTATAATGTTCACCTGGTATACAGTGAATAAATGACAGTATTATAATAACACTGTAATAATGTGGCCTGTTACCTGTCTGGTGGGTGTGGTCTATTCCCATAGTGGACGCAAACTCTGGTTTATAATCAAACTCAACTATTCTCATCTGAGTGATCCTCTTCAACTGCTGCTCAGAATCAACCTGACAAACAAAAAGATTAGAAAGTGTCAGAATAAAGTGCAGAAATAAACAGAAACTTTAGAGTTAGAAACATTACAAAACTGTTAATTAAAGAAGTATTTAAGTTTTGATTCTTGATACTCAAAGCTACATTGTAAAAAACAGTTTTACAGTGTTTTTAAATACATGGAAATATTAATACAATTCCAAAAATAGACTGTGATGTAAATATTAATGTAAAATAACGTGAAAAATCTGTAACTGTTAATAATCATTAAGTTCTGCTTATTTAAAGAAAATTACCTTTAATTCGCAGAAAAAGATTTAAATACATTTGCATTACATTAGATATTTACTGTTTATTTAGGAAGGTTACACTGTTAATACTGTTAATACATTTCTAAAATTATGTAAAATTTGTTTGTTTTACATGGATTTGATTGTTAATTGACTGATATCTATTTTAATCGTAATTTAATTAAAATTTTAATTGTATAATTATGGAAGTTTTCACAATAAAATTGTTGAATAAATGTTTTTTATCAGTGTATAAGCATGAATAAAAACAACTATCACTGAAAACAGCAACAATTACTGTATTCAGAGGACTTCAAGGTTATTTTATTGTCATCTACAATGCAAGGTTGTAAAATTAAATTTAGATATGGTTCCCTTTATGCTACTTAGATATATAATAAAATAAAAAATTGTAAATGATTCATAAAAATAAAAACAAAATAACTAGTTTGTATGACGAATTGAGTGAGCTTGATACATTCAAATATGTTTTTACACAAATAAATAAATGTGTAACGTTTGCCAAATTAACAAGGAGGCCGAAATAATTAAGAATTACATATAAAAAAAAGTGTTTCACAAAGTTTATAAAGTTTGTCCTCAAAATTAGCTGATTTTTTAAGGGAGTCTGGGAATATTGTGTTTGCCAAACATCTGCTGATTATCATTGCAGGTAAGGAAGCCCAAACACATCATTTGCATTCATGGCGTCGCTCTCATATCTCATACCTCCTGTATGTTTTGCTTGGCGCGGTAGTCGGATGGCTGCATGACGGCGCCCATCACTTTGGCGTTGCCACAGACAACTAACGCCTCGTCGGGGGAGTCGGTGTTGATGCCCACTCGGCCTTGACAGACCACAGCGTCCTGCACCGCCCCACGCTGCCACAGTGCGTCCCCTTCCGTCTCAAACTGACCGGGGTTGGAAGCCTGCAGAGGGGTAAAGGCTGCAGCATTAATGGCAGAGATTTTGAGCGTCTGCGCTTCAATTGATGGTTAAAAGTCGGCGTTGTTACCCTGACGATGATTCTCTCCGAAACCAGAGCCGTGATAAGAAAAGTCTCCTCTCCTGCCACTGCAGCGTACAGACCAACCACCATCTGAAAGTATCTACAAACACACACACAGTTAGCATGTAGCTCTGTTCATTCATCCATTCATTCACATACTCACTCACACACCTCTGGTCGGGGTTGGGTTTGCCTTTTTTCCTCATGTTGTTGGACGTCGTCTCGCTGAAGTGCAGTCGGCCGAGAGTTACCTTGGTGATTTTGCCGCTGGGCAGAGCCACCCTGAAGGTAATGAAGATAATTAATTGATTTTTAACATTTACATTTTTGTGTTTGTACAAATTATTTTTGTGTGTCACTTTTTTCTGCCCCCTTGTGGTCAAAAATAGCATTCACAAACTTTCACTAACGATTATCCAGTCATACAATCGTAACTAAGCACAGGCTGTTTTGTTTCCGTGTTTTCTACTTGAATTATGATGATGAGGATTTTATGGACATGCAGCTACAGCCTCACCCCGAAATTCCACCGGGTATGACTTTATAACATCAATTAAAGCGTCTTCTAATCTCACAAGAGCGTCTTCAGAGGGCGTTGTCTGCTATAAATTGTATATTTTGTCTTTAAAAAGGAAATAAAACAGTGTCTTCTGTGTTTCTAACCTGCCTCTGACCGATCGACTTTTGATCTGGTGCCACATTGTTAATGTGGCACCAGATCAAGCAGATTCCAGTGCGATCCGCTTTGTGCTGCTTGACATAAGCGGGTCACCCTGGAACTGCTTATAAATACACTTTGGGTAATTATTCCCAAATCCTGCAGGGAACAGCATACAGACGCTTTGCCAACCCTTGTGGCAGTGCGGATCCAGGACCGTCTCCCACAGAGTGGATTGGATCAGAAAAGGTGTTAAACAAAGGTATGTTTGGTGCATCTGTTATGTACCTGACTGGGTTAAAGGGCTTCTTGCTGCGGTCGGGCTGAGACTGCTCAATGGTCACCTGGTGGCTTGGAGATTCCAGCTGTGAGATGATAAAAACATCATCAATCAAGATATTAATGCTGCATCTTTACCTACCAGTCAGTCACTGATAGATCGATAGAGTCTGTTTACTGACAGTAGAGTTTGGATCTCACCTTGACCCCGAACACTTTTATCAGGAAGTGGTCGACCAACTGCGGCCCGCTGGGCGTTTTGACGTACTGCGGCTCTGCAGCTACGCCGATGTGAATGGTGACCTGGAAGTGATTCTTCTTCTGGCAGACAAAGGCCTCGTCAGCTGTGGAGTAGATGAAGCCTTTATCTGTGTCGACGTGGTAGGCAGGAGGAGACCTGGAAACAGAGAAGGAAAGCAGTTCCTGTTTATATATAATATGAGTTCTTCCATTATCCCAAATATTTCCAACAATGTTCAAACTCAGAGAAATCTGTCATTTTATTCAGGTAACGCTGCGTTTCACCGGTCGCCTGTCGATGGCGTCATATCCCCTTTGTGCCTGCGTCAGCATTGTGGTTGTCTGCCATAAGCTGTCATACATTGACTGTTAATCCAGTCTGAAGCCACATTGTTACCATCCACTGTTTAGATCTTGGTGCTTTTTAACTCTAGATTTGAACCGGATGAAGGATTTTAGTCATCGGACGTCTGGATCTTAAGTTATCAGAGAAACAAGCTGAGCTAACGTTAGCAGCAGCTCGGCTCGCAGCCCCTCCGGGACGTCCTTTGTCTGTCCAACAGCGTGGGAGAAGCAGTGATTGTTAAGGTGGAACTGCTTTATTCAGTGTGTTTAGTGGTTTTAATCAGCGGGTCTGTTTGTGTTGGAGAGGAGGAGACCTCTGTGGATAACTGGGCTCCCGGTAGAAACCTCCTGAACCATGAACACTGAAGGAATCTTAACCGGGAGAAGCTGACTGCAATGACGGCAATGGTGGTGAAGACAACAACTCCCATGATCCCACGCTGCTTCATCAAACTTAAAGCTGACTGAACTTTCAGGTGCTTGATGTACATGCACAGTTGGTACAACAACTACTGGCGTGTTGAATTAAACTGATTCAGCTGATTCTGTACTCACAGTGTCTGGTAGCTGCTATTGTACAAAGCGCTCCAATGTTCCAGCCTGTACTGATCCCAAGTCAGCAGCTGGTAGGATCCCAAACTCAGTCCACCACCACCCACGCCGTTCCCTCCACTGCCTCCTCGAGTCCCGTCAGCCTCACTGCAGGACGCTTCGACTCCCACCGATGGTTCCTCAGACTCAGATCTCCTCCTCTTTTTACTCTCTGGGGAGCTGAAGAAGGACGAGAAAGACTCAGACGGGCATATACACGTTTATTATTTCCTGCCTGTTATCACAAGTTGTGGTAGTAGATTAGGTGATATGAGTTGTGATTAGTGTGGAAAGTTTTTCGGGGTCTGTAATAAACAAAGCTGTTTTTGTGCAGAACTACAGTCCTCCATTATAAAACTGTTTTGTCACCTTTTACCTTTATCAAAAATATTTGCATATTGCATTTGGCCATAATGCGATTTCCATAATATTTTGATTAATTGTGCAGCTTTAGTTTGGAAGTCAGAAACAGAAGCCGCAGTGTGAGTTGAGTGTAAAAGTCACAAAACAGGAAATGCTGAATTAAAGCTGTTTGATAAATTGATTAAATCGAAAATATGTTTTAAAACGATGCAAAAAACATCTGAATCGTAAAATTGCGATCGGAACTACAAATGTTATAATGCGATATGTAATGTAATATACAGCTGCTAAGGACCCAAAGTTACATAATAGATTATCAGCCCGAGCTGATGCTTACTAGCTGTGTAGTGTGGAGGTGGGGCCCATCAGGCCCCCCGTGGCTATATCTGGGACCAGGCCGGGAGCAGTGCAGGGTGTGGCGTAGCTGTTTGTGAGGGTCGGTGGCGGTTGTTGTGGTGGGGAAGGAGGTGTTGGAGGGGTGTAAACCTGCGGGCAGTTGTCTGGACTCAGGTAGTGTGTGTGTTCAGGTGTGTGCTGGTGCAGGTGGGCAGGTGGAGCAGGTGAGGCCCCAGACTTGACGTAGGTGTTAGTGAGGCCCAGACTGCGGAGCTGATCGTGGGTCAGCAGCTCATCTTGGGCGGGGGCGGGGCCTCGATCCTTAAAGCGACAGGACGAAGAGGTGAGAGTCCGTTGTGTTGGATAAAACGCTTCCTGGTTGGTCTGCTGGTTGGGCCAATAGGAAGGCTCGTAATGGAAGTCTACCAATCAGAGAATCAAAGCATATTAGAGGACAGTTTCACCCTTTTAGTGAATTTAAATCAAAACACACTCAACCAGAGACTCAGACTGTTTCCTGTTGGAGCTCAGTCACAGCAGCATTTATAGCAAAATTATTGACAGAAATCAATTTTAAAAAAGTAAATTTTTGTGAAGCTTTAATGTATAACTAAACTTTATTAGACTAAACTTTGATATGTGAATTTAAACTGCTGACAAAACCATGTTGACCTTCGAGTCCAAAAAGTTGGAAGCTAACACATTAGCTCCGTTGCACCATTTAATCTGGAAACTTTAGACTTTTAGGCAAACAACTTAAGTATGTATGTGAAAATTAGCTTCTAAATACTATAAATACTGTAAATACTATCAGTAATAATACAATACTATTTTTGTAGTCAAGGAGTATAGCAGTTACTGACCCAGGATGACAGTTACATCAATTGAGTCCAATTACAAACCAACATCCAAATAATTACATAGCAGTCATATTTAATGAAAGCTCTGTGAACATTACCTGGTAACTGTGCAGGTGAACAAGCCTCCGAGCTCGAGTCAGGAGGAGACTCAGGGAGCATGCTGGGAAAAAACAAACAAATAAATAAATACGTGAAACATAGAGACACTGTTGTGGAATATGTATTTACTCCATTTATTTGATTTATTATTATTTTTTATGTCTCCCAATAATTTATGTTGTATGACAACCTATGTGAAATAATCCGATGCCATGGAAAGCTTTATTTTTTATTTTAATAACTGTTGTTTGATATTGTTTTGAATGGGATCGCCTGGTTATGCAAAGAGCTTTCTGCATTCTGTATTTACAACCTTCACTCAGCTGATAACCAACTAGGTCAATGCTGTTTGTGTGTGTGTTATATAACAGTAGGTTTCCGCTGTTAGCACAACTCTTACTACCTCTTCCCACTAGTTTATTTACGTAAATCACATAGATTTTACATTTTATTACACACACTCCCTCATTAATGCAGCACAGTACTGTGTTGCTGTACCTGTACTTTACTTGAATATTTACATTTTCTACTTATTTTTACTTGTACTCCACTACTGCATTCTTCGGAAGCAAATATTGTACTTTTTAAAAGGTGCAGCAGATATCCAAATGCCACGTACTATCTCAGTCTGTGTTCAGGATGCTGTGATCGATTAACGTCTAAGGGGTCGGTTGCACAAAACACCTGAGGTTAAGGTTTATTTAAAGTTTGAGTTGCACAAAACAACCTTATATCTTCTTCTTAAGGTTTTACTTAACATGTTCACTCGAGTATTTAACAACAAACAAACAATCTCAGAGGAAACAGTTTTACTGCTGTAAAATCTCTTTCAGTGCCGTAGAGTCTTAATATCTTTACTAAGGAAATATTTTAAGGGATTCTGTGCAACACCCTCCAGTATGTGGCCCCTGGAGTACAAGAACTGAACACAATAAAATGTTATTTTTCAGTGCAGAGAGAAATTCCATGGAAATGGTCCATATGAAAGGGTAATTTGGAAATTGGTCTATGGATAAGTAGGGAGGGATCCAGACCAGAAAGCAAACAAGGCTCAAAACCTTGTTTGTATTACATCAAGAGGGCTGGAAGTCACTCTCTTATGTGATACTGGATAAAATGAGCTGAAGGACATCAGAGTAAGAGGCATTGTGGGTATTAGAGGCTCTAATTGACTCCATTTTATCATTAAAACAAGATAATAATAAAAAAATTCACAATCAGAATCACTTTCAGCCGAGGAAGGGCTGATCCTAAATGAATAATAAATCAGACTGATCAATAATCGATCACAGAAGAATCATGTAATACTGGGATTATGTGTGTGTGTGTGTGTGTGTGTGTATCAATCTTACAAACTGTTGGGGTCCATGTCATTGCTGAGGTACTGCTCCAGGATGCTCGTATCCACAGCGACAGAACTGTCCAACACGCCACTCACATCCTGACCTGCACACACACACACACACACACACACACACACACACACAACACACACAACACACACGCGGGAATCAATTGTTCTTGACTGTAAATACCAGAGGAAGATAAGGAAATAGATAACCTACTGTATGTATGTAGATTAGTTTTTAGTCCAAGAATCAGGGTGAAAGTTTGTATGACTTGTGTCATTTAAAAAAGTGAATTCTTATAAAGTAGATAATATTTATATTTATTTATATATGTGCATATAGAGGAGAATAAAGTTTATTATGAATGAATACCACTGAGGAAATTTGTAAGTATGTTTCTAGCTTGACAGTGGTCACCATGAGATGTGACATCTGAGAAAAAGTAAAAGGTAAAAAAGAGCATAGTCCGTTACAACTCATAGAAAACATGTCAACAATAAGTCAACATCCAATCAGAGAGCTTCAGACTCTACTGCCGTGTGGTTAATGGAAGGATTAAGACGTTTCAGCTTTGTAGTAACTAGTTGGATAAATTCAGCATGAATTAATTTACTCCTGGAACCTTGTTAAGGACAAACTTAACTGCCCCTATACCTCTGGAACCATTTCCCCAAGGACCACTAGCACTACCCTAAGTACTCCTTGAATGTATCAACCTCTATGTCCCGTGGAACCACTTTAATGAAAACTTGAATCTCTGTAAGAATCCCTCGCCCCCTAAAGACCAGTAAAACCTGCTCTAGGATTTGTGGAACCTCAGTAAGGAACTTTTTCAAGGACCAGTGGAAACTCCTTCTCAAAGACCACAAGATCTGCCATAAGGACTTTGGATTTGTGGTACCTCCTCAATGAGAATCACTTCAAGAATAATCAGAATCTTCTTAAGAACCCCAACCTCTTAAGGACCAGTAAAACCTCTTCTGGGATACCTGGAATCTCAGAAAGGACTGCTTCAACTTCTACAAGACCAGTGGAACCACCCTCTCCAGTACTACTACCACTACCATAAGGACCTTTCTCAAGGGCCTCTGGAATGTCCTCTTCAAGGACCACTAGAATCACAAACCTCCCCAAGGAGGACCACTTGAACCTTCTCAATGACCCCTGGAACCCCTTCTTCAACAACCACAGATCTTTCTCAAGGATGGTACCTCCTCAGTTACCATGATAATCACTTTGAGGATGACCTGCCCTTTCTTAAGAAGCCCTGAAACTGTCTAAAGACCACCATTAATCACCTATCATGGAGCCTTCTTGAAGACCCCATAAACCTGTTAAAGGACCACTGGAACCCACTCAGAGATAGACTAGAATATCTCAAAGACAACTCATGGACCACTGGATTGTACTCTTCAAGCATCAATATATTAGCCTCCCTCCCCCAAGGTCGATAAGAACTACCTCCTCAAGGGTCAATCAATATATCTTCCTCTACAGTCCATGGAACCACTTCAAGAACAACTGGAATCTAGCAGAAGATCTTGCAGAAGATCTTCTAGGATTCCCTGAAGCATTTGCAAGGACCACCTGAACCTCTTCAAGGACTACTGGAACCTCTCTCCCAGGACCACTGGAACTACCTTAAGGATCTGTTTAACTTTCTGGGGACCCCTGGAATGTCATCTTCAAGGACCACTAGAATTACATGAACCTACTCAAGTAGGACCACTTGAACCTTCAATTAGAAGCTACTGATGGACCTCTAGACTATCCTCTTTAGGAACCAATAGAACCTTCCCAAGAAGCCCCCACCCTAAAGTACTACCTGTACCTAAACTACCTGTACTTGAAGAACCATTTTAACCTCCTCAAAGACTATTGAAACCACTTCAAGAACCAATTGAACCTCCTGAAAGCCACATTTAGTGACTATTCGACCATCCTCAGGAACCAAAGAACTTCTTCAAGGATGGCTAGAACTTTGTTTACCTTCTGTAGGACTACTGTAAACTTAAAATACAACCAGACAAGACAAGACAACTACGTTCTTTGTGATCAGGTCCTTCTGTCAGAGAATATACATTATTCTTCTCTCAGATTTTAAAATAAAGTAAACAAGCTTACCACTGAAGAACTGCTGCAGCGCCTCGTTCTCTCCCAGTACCTGGAGTGGCAGCCGGCCTGCTCCAGGCTCCATGATGCCCAGCAGGGGTCGTTGCAGCCGGGGACTGAGGCGGGTCTAGGAGGGCCCCGGCTGGACACTGAATAATAATTATAAAGAACTTTTTAGAGTTTACTTTCTAGAATATAAATATTCTCTTTTACTCAAGTACAATACTTAAGTACAATGTTGAGGTATTTGAACTGCAGATACCTTATTCCCATTAATCATCTCATGACCCCTCAGATTGTCGCCCTATAGAGGGGCTCAATCTCTAGGTTGGTTAAACTTCACCATAGAAGGTAATTAAAACTAGCTTCACTGACTTTTACTTGTAATGGAGTATTTATACATTGTGATATTGGTACTTTTACTTAAAGATCTGAGTGCTTCTTCCATCACTGCCTGCAGCTGCATGTTGAGATTGTAGGTGTAATGGAGGGAGAAGCAGACAGGTTTATGGTCAATTAAAATCTGATACTGATGCAGAGTTCGAGGTTAAAACCTTTTGATGACATGATACAGATCAAAGCTATAACCAATAACCTCTTAGATAGAAAATGAAGACAATGTTTAATTGGTGCCCTTTCTCTTAATTCCAGTTCCAGTTGGTGAGTGCAACCGTCTTTTAATAAAAAAATATTTTGGCAGGTGAACAGAAATGTAAAATCTGTAAAACATAAAATTCAACAAATATAGAGAATAAAGTTTCCAAGATTGATATTTACATGAGTTTAAATTACATTTTCTTACACTTTTTAAATAAGATTTCAACAGTTTTTTAAGGAAATTCTTCTAGAAATTAACTATCAACATGTAAACATTTTGTTTTGGGTTGAGCATACATTTGGAATATCATCACCTTAGATGATGTAATTTGATGTTGCAGCTTTAAAAACATGTAATTCAACATTTTTCCATCATGTAGTTTCAGTTAAAATCAGTTAAAGAACAGTTGAAGAAAATATGTTGCGATATTCTTTACTTCTTAATTTTTTTTTTGCAGAAAAATAGGTTTTCTGTAACTTTAAAGCTAATTAATGGGAAATTTAAGGGTGAAATTCAAGTGAATAAAACGTTAACTTTTGCTCATTATGATCATTTAATCAATTTTTGTACTAAGAGAGAAACACTTCCTCGTTTGGGGCGCCAATTCAAACTGTGTACATCTGAATTTTGGGGTATTTTCTGCTACTTTATACCAATTCTCCACATTTTAGTACGTTTTTTTAGTCTAAGTCTAAGTCTTTTAGAGGCAAATATTGTACTTTTTAACTGCACTTTATATTTATTTGAAATATAATTAACAAATCAATTATGATGTAATATTGTAGCTTATGATACAAGTGATATTTTGAATGCAGGACTTTTACTTTTAGCACAGTTTTTCTACGGTTTGGTTTTGATATTTTTACTTAGGTGAAAGAGTCCCGCAGCAGAATTTAATTTAATTAAGATGAATCATTTTAAGATGTTTTATTACTGTATTTCCATTAGAGAACATTAATTACAGGTTGAGACTCACACAGCAACATTGTCTTATATTTTCTATTAAGATAAATAAGAGAAGTCAACTCCGGATGCACCAAATGTTCTTAACCCATTTGATCTTAAATCTGTGGCATGTGGCTGATTGTTTATTAGCATAACTAAAACCTCCTAAACACCATATAAGGGAAGGTGTTAAATATATTTATACAGACTATAAGTAATAAGAAAGTAAGTATAAGATATCTATAAGATAATGATATCATCCAAGGTTCTTTATAGATTAAATAGGGATCAATGGAGCAACAGTTATTCTTTAGCCCTCAAATGTAATAATTCAATCACTATAATTAGTCTAAAACATATAATTTAATCTGATTATGTGAAATTCATGACTTTTTTAAATTTAAAACTTATGTTTCTTTGCGTTGGACAAACAATTTGTGGACTGTGCGAACTGGATGTTTCGTTCTTATCTTGGTAAAAATATTCTCTGACACTAAGAAAAGAGCGAAAACAAGAAAACTTTGGTGAATCCCAGATATCAATAAGAACAAATCGTGGATACGAACACAAATAAACAATAAATAAACAACTGTTTATTTGTCCACACAATCTGCATGTAATTCATGTAGATTTTCTTGTTCACTGTAAAAAACAAGTTAATTAAGCTTGAAAAATATTAGATTTTAACTTTTTAAGTAACTTTTAACTCAATTTTGTAAGTTAAAAAAACATTCTTTATCAAATAGCCTTAATCATTTTAGTTAAAATAACTTATCACTTTACAGTGTTCAGTGTTTAATTTAGTTAACTCTAATACAACGGCATACTGTTACAGGTACTTTCCACCTCTGACTCTCTTCAGCTGCACATTAAAAAGGAAAATAAACATGTTTTTTGACCCCTCGGAATAAATTTTACTATTAAATTGTTCAATAATCAAGACTTACTGCCTAAATAAAGAAAAGTGTCTAAACTTAGACACGTTTCCTGATTTAGATTAAGAAATATTTAACACTTTGATACTTGAAGCTACACATTTTATTTGATATTCATAAAGTTTTGACAGAAGACTTTCAGACCTCCATGTTGGGTAATAAAAGGATTCAAGGTTATTTTATTGTCATTTACAACACACGGTTGTAGAATAACATTTAGATATCACTCCTTTTATGCTACTTTTACAAAAAGTGTTGAGGGGTTGTGCACAGTTTGGACTGCGGCCTCGTGTGTAACTGAAACTGTGGCTGTTGCTTTATTAAACATGTTATTATCGTCTAAAATTTCTTCTGAAATGTGAATTTAACAAAAAAAAAAGTAGTATCATCCACCACAGACAACATGTTGAACTCTTAATATTAATAATTACGATATTTTATGGTAATAATTGGAGTTATTTTTGTTAACATTTAAGATTCTGAGTAGTTTTTTTAAATCATTTTTCAACCGTGAATCACATTTTTTAAAGTCTTATTTTGAAAAACCAAAGTTAACACATGTTAAATGGACAAATATTTATACATTTTGATAACATTTTGCTGTTCTCGTCCAGGATTTCTGATGTCTTTCTTCATAATTCACCTAAAACCTCAACATATATGATAAATTAACCTCTTTCTGTAGCTCACAGTTCCTCCTGTTCGAACAGACACAGCAGCTCAGATCTGCTCGACAACAACAGCCGCAGACATATTCGTTCAAACACACCTGTGTCGTCTCTCAAAGATGGCCGCCAGCCGATCGGCGGTGATCTCTGAGTTTATCCGCCCTGCTCGTCTTCAGGTATAATCCATCTGTGATTCAGATATTACACACCGAGTTCCTCCAAATCTGTCAGATTTCAGTCTTCTGCGGTTTCAGTGAAGAGAAATATTTCCTGTTTTAGACTCTGATTCTTCTTCTTCTTCTTGTTGGCGTCTGTGGATCGTCTCTGTCTGCCAGCTGAACTTTGAGCTTTGAACAGGAAACGGTAAAAAGACATTCACACACCTGACGCAGGCGTGTATCACTGTGTGTGTGTGTGTGTGTGTGTGTGTGTGTGTGTGTGTGTGTGAGAAATGAAGCCATAAACCATCTTATCTGAAGCTGTTTGTATTGCTATTCTTGTGAGGACCCTCACTGACGTCCCCAAACATTTAACCTTAAAGATATGATAAACATTAGAGCTATATTATATATTTTGTTGAGGTTTTACATTTTCCCAAATGTCCCTTTATTTATGTCAAAGGTCCAGTGTGTCCCCACAATTCATGTGAGTCCCCACAACACTGTAGGATGTCAGGTTGAGGTTGCAGCAGTGTTAAAGGACAATTCCGGTGCAAAATGAACCCGGGGTTAATAACACATGTGTACCGAGTTGGTCCGTTCTCTGGGATATGTTTTCATGCTAATCGACCGTGACCGGTTTTAGCACAAACCGCTAATTAGCTTATAACGCTAGCCAACGGGGCACAGAGTAACGTGAAAGGAAATCGCTTTTTATACCACTAACAAGGCTCAAAATAGCACCACACTGTCATGTCCAGGAAACTTTGTTAAGTTTATTTATTCTGTTTTGTCACGTGTCTATGTTGTCTTGTAATTTCCTGTTTTATTTTGGTTCTACTTCCTGTCTGTCTCTTGTCACCAGCTTTACTTTCTCCCTTTGTCTCTTTTCCCGCTCCTGGGATTACCTGTCTCCGCCCTGATTGTTTCCACCTGTGCCCTTACCCTGTGTGTGTATATATAGTCCGTGTCTCCCTTTGTCCTGTGCCAGTTCGTCTTGTCCCATGTACCAGAGAACCAGCGCTTTATTGAGCCATGTCCAATTGTCAGGTCTTGTTGTTTTGTTTGCTCATGATCTTCTGTTTGTTTTCTAAGTCATAGCATGAGAAGAAGAGTCCAGAACAATAAAACATTGAATTTGTTAAGTAAGAAAATTAAGTCTGTATGATTGGTAAAAAAGATTAAAAAAGAGAATTGTATAAAAGGTTGCTCAAACTCCATCCAAATCATTCGTTTTACACAAACTTCCTGCAGTTACTGAGTTCACTGTTTGGATTCATTGAACAGTTTTTAATATAATATGAAATATCCATAAAATATGTCACTGAGTCAGTTTACTGAATGATAGAAAAGTAATTGTTTCTCTTTGTCTCTCCTCCTTCAGCTCACAGGTCTGATTTATCCTCCTTCCTCTCTTGTCCAGGTGGATGAAAGGTTTATTCTGTACATTTGATTTCTTCTGCTGCAGTGTGTTTGTGTAAAACATCATCTTATGGCTCTAAAACTAAACCTCATGAAGGTAAAAGTACTAAACACACTCACATAAGCTGTAGGATCTCTGCTGTAGTCATGACTCAGTCAGTCTCTCATCCATCCAGCAGGGGGCGCTGAAGACAGTCACTGGAAAATAAATGAGACCAGGAGATTTACACAAGCTCTCCAATTCTGCCAAGTCAGTCATCATTTAGGGTGTGTTTTAGTGCAGTGTTTCTCAAATGGAGACAAAATGATAATTTAACAAAATATCATTCATGTGTAATTCCTAAAATAAATATGCTGTAAGTTCAAGTTTGATAAACCACATTTTATATTAAATATTCCTGTTTTCAATGCAATTACCTCAGAGAGGACGTATTATCCTCATTTTCAGGTTCATACTTGTGTTGTAGAGTTTCTGCTATAATAAGTTTATAATAGGTTGCTCAAAATATACTGGCCTTTGCAGCAGCACTTCTGTTCACCCTCAGGGGTTACTTTGTTGGAAACATCACGGGCATCATGGGGCGCCATCTTAGAAACTTAGCTGCAACCTCTCTGGCTGACAGATGAAGCCAACATTGAAGTAGCTTATTAAGTCTGTATGATTGTTAAAAATGATTAAAGAAAATACATAATACAGCAATAGAAAGTTCCCTTAACAGGAAATAATCTGCTCAAAATTCAGTTCAGTTGTTTTACACAAACTTCCTGCAGTTGTTTTGAATATGTTTTTTTATTTATTAATGATAGAAAATCTGTTCATCTAAACAATGTGCTGTATCATCGTTCAGCCAGCAGGTGGCAGTGCAGACTGCTGAGTTCAGTTCCTGTCAACAACAATAACATAACACAGATAAAAATAATACAGGTAGAATAATATTCCAGATAAGATCAGCAGGTGGTGCTACAGGACAGCAGTTTAACCTTTTAAATGGGAAAACACATATACATGTTTTGGAACATTTATTACTATTTTCTAACATATATAAACTAAAATAACACAATTTCATGATTTTACAATTTACAGACTGTATCTGTATCTAGGTTATGCTGCCAATTTAGGGTTTATATTTAATATTTTTCCCGCTTTTAAGTAGTTAATTCTCTACTTTTAAAACATTTTATACACAATTAATCAGCTACTTTATTTAATATTTTGTATAAAATGTTTTAAAAACTACTTTTTGTTTAGTCCAGTGGTTCCCAAACTAGGGGTCAGGCCCCTCCAAAGGGTCACCAGTTAAATCTGAGAGGTCATCAGATGATTAATGGGAGAAATTTTAATTCATTATGTCTGAAAAAAATTACCCATATGAATATTTAACTGCCTGTATGGAAGCTTATTTCTGCCAAATTGACAGAAAAAATCCCCCAAAACATTCTGTGAGTCATTATAATGAGAAAGTTTCTCATTATTTTAAGATACTAAATCAATATTTTGAGAAAGTTTCTCATTAAAATAACTCTCAGAATACTTTTTCTTTCGTCACATTGGCAGAAAAGAGCTTCCATAGTTTCGATTCGACTTAAAACAGCAGCAAAAAATACTTCAAGGTTAAAAGAAAACTTCATCCTTTCGACTTCCTTTCATCCCAACAGAATAATTAGATAAAGGATTCAGACCAACAGAGTTTAATTTAATTCCTGGCAGCGTCGGAGGTCTTTAAAACAGCTCGTAGATTTCCTTTTTTTTTTACCTTCGGAAATTAAATCTTCATTTTACGAGCCCGTAAATTGGAAACAATTTTGAAGTAAGTTTCTTGGAAAGAAGTTTGTGATGCAAATTATACAGAAAACAGAGTCCTTTATTAGCTGTTGTTGATTTCCAGATGAATTTCTTCAAAGAACGCCTCCATTTACACGTACTACAAGTTTTTCACTGCTTATGAAACCTCAACTTCCCCCCGAAAAGCAGTTTGAGGGCTGTTTTGGAGCCGGTTCTTGGCCAGGAAAACTGGTTCCAGAGCGGCACCGAACCCACCGTGTCTTCATCATCCCCCAGAGTCAGAGTCCTGGTCGGAGTAAATCACTCGTGGCTGCTGAGCCCGGTACAGCTAGTACAGTTAGCATATGCAACAGTTAGAGACTCCCTGTGTTACAAGAGAAAACATCCATGTTGCAGCAATCCCGATGTTTTTGTCTCGTTGACAAGATGTAGCTCTCAGATGTAGTTTAACGTTGTTTTTCTCGACTTTTCTTTAATTACAGTTGTACCACTTCTATCCACAGGGGGCGCCATACTCAACGTAAGATGAAAGCTCCTTGTTTGCTGCTTTTAAGACTAAATATCTCACTATAAAACAAGATTTTTGAGACCTTGGAATAGTTTTAAAAGGGTTAAAATTTGTTGTTTTTGTTTAGACACATTATTTTTAATAATTTTGAATTAAACAGTGTTTCCTGCTGGCGAGTCTTTAGTGTTTGTGTGACCTCTGACCTCTCTGTGAGTCTGTGAATAAAACTAATTTCACAATAACTGTTCTGTCTCTGTTTATCTTATCTTCATCGCACACTCACACTCTCCATTGTCTTTCTTATCTGCACTGCGTTTCTTATCGCTGACCCCAGATTACTGAAAACAACAGCGTTACCGTGCCAACCAACTGCCTTTTCATCGTCATACGAGTCTTTTTCCATTTAAAAACCTATTTATGGCTCCACAAACGTGAAGATTTGTATAATTTTAATGTATTTGTAATAATTTTGAGGTTTGGACTGTAAATAATCTTCAGTTTAGCTCCACCTCAACCAACGACGCCAGTATACTCCTGCTGTTTATGCACCAGAGAAGAGACGCCACTTCCTTCAGCTGTAAAAGGACGACAGACACCTTCAGTCTCTGCTGGTTCATGTGAAAGTCACAGAGAGTCACTGAGTCCAAAGCACACAGAAGAAACTTTAAATGAAATAAAATCACCTCAAGAAGAGCAAACAATGACTCAGCGCTGTGGTTCATCAGGATGCATTCTGGGTAATTGTGCGATTGCTTTAGTATAAACTCAGTGGGACTCAGCTCGGCTTCATTTTCTTCTGTTGTAGTCAGAAAGCGTCTATTATAAACACCAACCCTGCGTCACGATCAGCTAATTGAATTACTGCGTCTCCTCGCTGACTCACTGATGAATATTCAATAAACACCTGCTGATGTGGAAAATCTCTGCACTTCCTCTTTTAAGGACCGCTGTGTAGGCTTTACAACTCCCTCGCCTCACCCTACTGCTCCAAGCATCCAAGTCCCATCTAGAGCCAGTGTTTGGTTTGTTCGATTACTGTAGAAATATGGCAGACTTTGTAGATAAAACATTTCATTCTTAGGTAACAAAAACTTTATTGAAAGGGAGAAAAAATGTAAGACACGAGTATCTTTAACGTTATAGATGCAGCTACATCGGTACTCGGACCCCCGGAGCGATCAAAGTGTACCGCGAACCGGTCGATGGTCTGATTCTAAAGTTATGAATCTGTTGACTGAACCTTTGCTGCAAACAGTGTCTCCACTCAGAGTAACATTAGGATTTTCAGAGTGCCATCAAATCTAAAGTCTGGAAGACATTTGGATTCTATGAAGGAAGTAAAGTTGGATAAAAGTCCATTTGTTAACAGATCTTAACCCTCACCTGGTGAGACGGCGGCGAGGAGCATGTTGATGCTAAGTCTTGAGTTTGTCTTCATTTACTTTGTGTTGTATAAAATATTTGTATGTTTTAAGACTGTCAAGAAAAGTTGAGGTCCCTGATCCGCTCAAACCACTTTAGCACAGAGATTGTAATAATCAAATGCTTTTATGTGTGATGATTGACGTTGATTCTATATTACAAAATGAAATGTGTAACAATGAAAGGGAGCATGATCAAATGCATGTAACTGATTATTTGATGAGTGATGAATATAAATGCATAGTAGTAAGATTGAACTATGGAAAATAAGATCAAGAGATCAAACCCTGTTAAAGTGTAAAGTAACTTGATGTGAAGGCACACATTACAACATAACCGTTGAGAGAGTGGAACGGCTCAAACAGGATGGAGCAACAAGGGGAAGTTGTACAGCAAACAGGACACACCCGAGGAGAAACGGTTAAACGGCGCTACTCAGAGAGGATCGTGGTTAGTCCTCGGCCAGCTCAACTCAAGAGACGGAGTAAACGAGCAGCCCAACATCGCAAAGAGAGGAATACATATATACCTATAGCCTAAAAGAGAGTGATAGGCAGAAGAGGATTAACCATTTCCACCAGGCTTTAGGATTACAATTGATTTCAATGGATTACTCTTTTGTTCACCCTGCCAACCGAGACTGAACTGGTTAGAGACTTTGCAGACTTTGGATATAGTCGGGAGTTTCAATATCAACCAACAGTACGGCAGGCCAAGTGAGGACCGTATTGGTTCAGCCCTCTCATCATGGGTTTGAAATTTAAACAATTAGTTTTTAATGTCAGAGATATAGTTCATCCCTGTCAGTAGATGTTAATAATCAATGTTGAATCAATATTAAACTGTGTGCTAGCCCTTACTAAATCTTGCAATAAATATATAACGACTGACGTTAAAGAATAAATTGTGGACATTGTATTTATGTTATCCCTACATGCAATAATTATTAGGAAGCATGTTTAACATCTTGAAGGTTCTAACAGGTTACTCTAGCCAAAGAAATTAAACAGACCCTTGGGGCTTACTGTCCAAGCCACTAAAAACAATGCTAGCAACTACCAAGTGCACAGATCAATAAGAGGAGAGCTGCCGTGAACGGACGTGACTAGTGTGGTATTTGACTCTAGGGCTATTCGGTCAGATGCTGCACTAGAGTGAGCAGGGTCGGCGTTAGAAGCTGGGCGTGTCTCCTCGCCACCAGCTTAAACAGTCCTCTTCTGAACCTGGCCGGATAATACCCACAGGCAAGAGGCTGGGACCCTTTAAACCGGAGAGCTGGTCCGTTAACACCCATACGGGGGTGACTCGGGATCTAACACGTGGCGCCCAACGACAATATCGTATCCAGTGCAGCAGCAGATATTTATTTATATCAGAATATAATTGTAGTCTGACGACAACGACCCTCAACAGAGGAGATACAGTGTGTGACTGAAGCTCACAGAGACTCATTGATGATAAATATCTGCTGATGTGGAACGATGACGCTGCTGTGGATCGCTGGGTAATTGTTTAAATCCAAAGTCTTTTTTTAGCCTAAATGAGTCACAGCAGCTGATGATGAAGATGATGAAGATGATCTGGATGAATCATAACACACACACACACCTCAGAGCAGTTACAGCCACATTGTTTTATATATATACGTCACAAACTAAAACTTCATTCTGGAAGCTACACAAACAAATATCTTACAAACGTTTACAAACAGGAAGTGGAAACAAACAAAACTTCTTCTTTTTCTTTTTTTTTACTATTTTAAGTGCCGATCATAGAAAGTGCAGCAACTGTCACACACAGCGGACATTCAGTCGATGCTTTTAAGCTGTTTTTTTTTTTTGTGTTCGGTTTCTATATTTTGGCTTCGTTTCTATCCATCGATGAGTCAGTTTGGAACAAAACAACAATAAAACACTGAGAATGTGTTGGAAACAGTTTCTTAAACCCCATTTACATTGAATCTGAGTGTCTCATCTCAAAATATTCAAATTTAAAAGGTCCAGTGTCACATTTAGGAGGCAGATTCAGTTCATTTAACTCAAAATATTGTTGAAACTGACATAAGGTACATTTTATTATGTTAAAAAAGATTATTTTACTTGTAATTTTAAGTACTTTCATGAGTTACAGAAACATTTCTGATTAATAACTTTTTACTGTCTCACTTGAAATCACTAAAGCTACTTGATCAAGAATATTTGATTAACTTTAAAATAATTAGTTTTACTCTAAAATGTTGATTTAAATCAGTTTAAACAAGTTTTTGAGTTAAATGAACTTATCTGGATTCATATGTTTACACACTGGACTTTCCTCCTGCTGGTTTAATGGATTAAAGCTCAACGTTATCCAGGGAGCTTCTTCTGTTAAACACCTCTTTAAAACAGTTTATACGACTCACTGGCGCCACCTTCTGGACGGAAGTTTGTCCGATCACATTCACGAAAAAGCCAATTTCTTATCCAGCTCACGGAGGCGGATATATGTGTGTGTGTGTGTGTGTGTGTGTGTGTGTGTGTGTGTGTTTGTGTTTGTGTTTGTGTTTGTGTTTGTGTTTGTGTGTGTGTGTGTGTGTGTGTGTGTGTGTGTGTGTGTGTGTGTGTGAATGAAATCACAGAGAAACATTTGAAGTGTAAATGGGGTCATAATGTACATAATAAACATTATTCAGCAAACACAGTCTACACAAAAGGAAAGTAGGATTGTCACAGTAGCCTGTATTTACAATATGTACACACACACACACACACACACACACACACACACATAAAGGGTCTTTTTTGAGCAGCTGGACGAACATGAAAACGTGTTAATCTGTTCTTCTTTAAAAAAATGTTGGGTCAGCAAACAACTAAACGTGTGTTTGGTTGCACAGCCGGTAACAGGAAGTTGTCTTCTGGACTTTAGCGTCACAGAGACCGACCCGGACTGGATCTGAGCAGGTTTAGGACATATTTCTGCCACCTTAGCGTTTCTCTACATCCGCCCCTGTATGGATGCTTTGGATCCACCATTAAAAAACTCATAAAAATAAATGATTATAACCCAAAATCCAGCAGTGTGGTGCTTTTATGGAGAGAAATCAGACTGTGATATTTTAATAAAATACTATAATAAATTCAATTAATTACAATTTTGGTATTTTCATGGGAACTTTATCGATATTACAGCAAAATCAATAACTTAAAGGACCAGTTGTGTGTATTTTTGGACATCTTTCAGCAGCTGAACATGAGCTTATTCTTCAGCTTCCTATTTGTCTTCTGATTCCTGTTCTCAGTTTGTGGGATCGACTCTGTGGCAAAACTCACACAGACGCTGCAGTTTTCACACACACTCGCAAACACACACACACACACACACACACACACACACACACACACACACAGACACAATGCTCAACAGCATTTGGTAACACAATGCTGTAAATCGTGTCATATTTCAAAATAAAAGCTGCTGCGATATAAAGCCTCTCTGTGTGTGCCTTGGATTGACCAATCAGAGAGAGGAAGATGTTAAAGTTGCACACTGAGCATTAAGTTCTTCTTAAGACAAAACAAACAAAGATAAACAGAGAGTTGGACTCAAACTGGCGGTGCGTACTGTACATGGTGAGAACCGTCATGTCTGCTACATTCGCTACCACACAGTCCCATCAGTCTGTATCAGTGTCCAAAAGGTCCTTTACTCACCTGCCAAAAGTCCTGCCGGCTGGTGGCGCCCCTCCGCAGGCCGCAGTGTTCGTTACAGCCACAATATGAGAGTTGGAATGATGAAGTTAAATGTAAGGTTTGTCCTGAGGGGGGCGCTAGAGGAGAGGTCGTGTGGTCGTTAACATCAAGAGTTCCTCAGTGAATGTCATGAAACAGCTGTTGAGACACATTGGACCAAAGTGTGCGACATTACTGATAAAAACATCCGGGTTTTCCCTCATTGGGTAATTATCGTTGTGAAGCCAGATTAACCCGTTAGGAGACCCCCGCGTAACATTTTGTTTTGGGGCCACCGCCCCGAGTCTTAAAGCTAGTTACTGACAACTTTATAGGACATTTTCGCCAGGTCTTAGAGGCTTTTTTTTGGGATTGTCACAACCTAAAATGTCTCAATTTAAGGCAGCTTTTCTTAAAAAATCTGCAATGTTTTGGGGAATTTTCTGGCAAATTTTCTGGCAAAAAAAAGGGAAAATTGCTAGAAGGCAAGTTGTTCCAGTTAGAATAAAATCGCACTATTTGGAGAGTAAATATGAGACGTTTTGTGTCACATGTCCACATTGTCACAACAGGACACAAGGATGTGAGTTTGGAGACGTATGACTGGAAACTACGATGATTGGTGGAAAACGTTGCGGTGATCGGACAGAATTGCAATTGATTGAATTTGAGTTAATTGTTGCTGTTGTTGTTAAGTAATAATCCATGTTGTACATTTACATATGGTAAATTCATCAATATTTTACTCAAAGGTCCAGTGTGTAACACTTAGAAGGATCTATTGTCAGAAATGGAATATAATATATATAGGTATGTTTTTATTAGTGTATAATCACCTGAAAATGTGTTTTTGTCACCTTAGATCACAGGGTCCTAATGTTTTTACTTTCACTATCAGTGAGTAAACTGACTAAGTGACATATTTTATGGATATTTCATATTATATTTAATGTATAACAGAAACAGTTTGTGTAAAACGAGCGATTTAGATGAATTTTGAGCAGATTATTTCCTGATCAGACCATCAGAGATGAGTTTTACTGATATTTCCTGAACATTTTAAACATTTCTCAGTCTGTATTATGTATTTTTTTAATTTAGGCTTCTTCTTTGTTTTCTTCTCATTGTCATATTCGCTCTTTGGTTGTTTTAACTTTTCTAATGCAGGACGAGGCTGTTTATTACACAGTGAAGGCTTTTTAAACGTTATATCTTAACAAAATTTAAAAAAAATAATATATCTTTCTTCACAGAAATGAATGAAATGCTGTTTTCTTACACCACAAGTGAAGTTTTGTCGACCCCTATTGGAGGCCAGTAGCTCACCGTTAGATGCCACTAAATCCTACATACACACTGGACCTTTAAGCAGATCATCACGAGTAAGTTATGTTGATATCCTTTAATTTTGTTGTCTTTTGCAGCCATCTTGGATAAAAGAGACCAAAGAACGAGGGGTCTCCTGGTGGGTACGTCGGGGTCTGGTTGGATACCTTTGTTTAAAGTCACCTCTGCGTCTCCTCTAACTTTCTGTCGCCTTTTCACAGTTTCCTACAAAATAAAGGCGCAAGAAAGACACCACAGAACGAATCTAGTCAATGAGTTCATGAGTGACTTCAGACATTTGGCAGGTGAGAACTTCCGACCCTGTATGTGTGTCTGTGTGTCAGTCTAGTGATGAGGAATAACAAATGCCACCGAATGTTGCGTCTCACTCCTTCCTCGTCCTCTCTCCTCCTCCTCTTCCTCCTTCGTGCCTCCAACTGCCACCAGCGCCTGCGTCGAGTCACACGACTGTTTCTCTGCATCCTCGTCGTAGGTCGAATCCATCTCGTTCTGCCTCGACCTTCCTCCTGCAACTCCTCCTCCTCCTCCTCCTCCCCCCCTGCCGAGTCTGGGCAGCCTTACAGCCCCGCAGGTGCGTTTGGCGAGCGCTGCCAGCTCCTGCCGGGCGAGCGGGTTGAAGAGGATGTACAGCAGTGGGTTGACGCAGGCCGGCAGTGGTGCCACAAGCAGAAGCACCCCCTTTGCCGCCTCTGGCCCGGCGACGGGGAGGCGCAGCAGGGAGGAGAAGGAGAGGAAGGCGACAGGGAGGTAGAGGAGGCAGTCCGAGAAGAGCAGCCAGGCTACATGTCGAGTCAACGCCACCTCCTCTTCAGCAGCGGGCGGAGCTTTGTTGGCCCGACAGTAGAGGCGAGTGTAGGCGACCGTCATGACGAGGAAGCACAACGAGTCGAGGAGCACCAGGGAGACGGAGAAGGCCAGGGAGGATGAGGAGGAAGAGGAAGGCAGTGGCAAGCAGAGGGAGGTGCTACTGTGTCCGGCCACAAGGGGGGGAAGCGTGATGGCCAGGCCCAACAGGAAACACACGCAGACGGCGAGACGGATGGAGAGCGGCGAGGAGGAGCGACCTGGAAGGAGAGGAGAGTGAAATCAGACACGACCTGGAGAATACTTTACGGATGTGTATGTGTTTGTGTGTTTTTCACACCGTGTCCGTCAGCTTTGTGGCGGCGTGCGGCGGCGGCAAGGCATCGCTCCAAAGCTGCGATGGTGAGCAGGAAGAGGCCGGTCTGCGACGCAAATACGCACAGGAAGCCGCTGAGTCGACACAGGAAGCTGCTCTCCCACCTCGCCCCGTACCTGCAACATGAAGAGATGAAGTATGTGATCCACTGGCTCCCGGTCAAACTCCGCACAGACTTCCAAATTTTACGTTCAATGCCATCCACAACCTTTCCCCTCCTTATCTGTCCGAACTCCTCCACATCACCACCCCTTCCCAGTCTCTCAGATCTGCCTTGGGGAGCAGGCTCTGACCCCCGACTCTGGAACTCACTCCCACCGGACATCAGGAACCTGGACTCTCTCACACTCTTCAAATCAAGACTAAAAACTCACCTATTCAGAACTGCATACCCCACTTAACTATCTACATTGTCTTTTCTTGTCTGTTTCTTATTTCTTACTGTTTTTATTTTTATGTATTGTACGGTGTTCCTCGAGTGCCCAGAGAGTCGCCTTTAAATAAAATGTATTATCATTATTATTATTATTATTATTATTATTATTATTACAAATCATGGATGGATCAATCATGAGATTTAACTCTTATACATTGGATCTTATTCATAAAGATGGAAAAAACTCCATTATGCCCCATTGTTCCCAGCTCAGCCAGAATTCCCAGTTCCAGAGTCACTTCAGTTCTCTAGATTCCCAAAGAGTTCCACAAGAGTCCCCATAACTTCTTGGGTTTCCATTGCTCCAAGAGTCCCCACAAATCCACAGTATTCCCAGAGTGCCCAGAATGCATAGCAATGTCCCCACAATCCCTAGAGTTTCCAGTGTCCCTTTGTAGCCTCCATAACCTCTAGAGTTCCTAGTGATTCCAAGTACACAGATTCACCAGAAACCACAGTATTCCCAGAGTTCCCACAATCCCAAGAGTCCCTAAAACTTCTTGGGTTGCCATTCCTCCAAGAGTCCCTCAATTACCCACAAACCACAGAATTCCCAGAGTCCTGAGAATACCAAATTCCCCCCATACCAAAGTCAACCTCTGATTAGGTTTTGTACCTCCAGAAGCTGCCATATGTCCACGCATCCACCGCCGCCAGCCAGCCGCTCCACACTCCCATCAGGCCGTTCACCAGGGCCAGTAGGCCAATCAGCAGCTTGGGTGTAGTCACTGAGGTGGCGGGGGAGAAGAAGACCGACAGGACGACCAGGCTGTTGCTGACCAATGAGAGCACTGCGATGAGCCACACACCTCCACGGATCAACCAGCTGCCGAGCAGATGGAGGCAGGGGCGGAACGGTCCTGGAGGACGATCACATATCAGTTTATAATCAATAAATCTTTGGTAAATGTATTCCCGGATATTAATATAATGTTGAGGAGACCTCTGTGGATAACTGGGCTCCCGGTAGAAACCTCCTGAACCATGAACACTGAAGGAAACCTAACCGGGAGAAGCTGACTGCAATGACTGCAATGGTGGTGAAGACAACAACTCCCATGATCCCTCACTGCTTCACCACCTCATCTAACTTCCTCTTTTCCTATTGTTTTAATGTGAATGACCTTCTAGTGGCATTAATGACATATTGTACGTGTTACCTGGTGCAGGGCTGCAGTGGACCGAATGTTGAAGTTTGGGTTCATCTTCAAACTCCATCAGAAAATCCTCCCAGTCCTGATCTACTGCAGAGACACAGCAAGGAGAGCAGTTACCTTCTTTTTACTTGGCATTTATTCAGCATTAAACCATGATATTAATACTTGTTTAACATGTGATTTCTAATATCTTTCCTGGTGTAATGGTGTGTGTTTGGTGTCACCTTGGCTGGAGACGACGGAGGTTTCTTTCCCGGTAGAGTCTGCTCCTTCCTCTTTCTCCCAGGATGAACCTCCTCCTCCTCCTCCTCCTCTTCTCTCACAGGAGATGAAGGCACAGCACTGGAAGGCGTAGGGAAGCTCCATCACCCTGAACACACACATAAACAATCTGATAAACCCCTTTTACATCTTTGTTTGATTTGATGTCCAAACACGCTCGGATAAATCAACTTTATTACACCTGCTTTACGGCGTACTGTCCCTTTAAATGCTTCCCAATAGAAACAATGAGGACTCATTAATGTTGTTAAGTGGCTGCAAATTTAAACATCTTCCAGTTAAAACAAATTCTGCTGAGATTTCTGTCTGCTGGGTGAAAGAAGATGGATGGAGTTCGGACCACGTCTCTAAACTAATGTCAGTGATGTCATCCCCCCCTCTGGCAGTCATGTTGGAGGTCCAGTGTCACAGCAGGAAGTGTTATGTTTGGTATTTAATGTTTCAGCTGTGACTCGCTAGTCAGTTAAAGTCGCAGTAGGTAACTTTTATCAAAATAATTGTATGTCATATTTGCTGAAACTTTCACTATACCCTGACAGTAGAACATGAGACAGATAATCTGTGAAAAATATCTGGTTCCTCTGGCTCCTCCCAGTGCCCCTAATGGTGTTTGTAAGAATCCACCTGCCCCGAATGACAACAACAACCAATCAGAGCCGAGAGAGATAGCTGATTGTCGAGTCTCATACCCACGGTGTTAAATATTGATGGTGGGAATGAGACTCAACAATCAACTATGTTCAAGCCACCAACCCAAAGCTTCTTTATATCTCTCTCGGTTCTGATTAGTTGTTTTTACTCGGGCCCAGTGGATTCTTACAAATACCATTGGGGGCACCAGGAGGTGCCAGATTTTTTTCACAGATTATGTATATCATTTTCTACTGTAATAAAGCGGATAAAGCGGATAAAGCGAAAGTTTCAGCAAATATGACAAGAAAACATATTTTTTTAAATTACATACTGCAGCTTTAAACAAATTTAGTGCCCCCTCTCTTGGCCCGAGTGTTGTGGTTTTAGGGGTTTTGGTTCCTTTTCCCCAAAAGTAAGGTTGTAACTACTTACTTATTGGGAGGTATGAGTTACGGTCCATTTGTTTATGTGTGTTTACCTGACTCTGGGCAGGTCCTCTCGGGATATTAACTCCATCAGCTGAGTGTTTCCAGCCAATCGCAGGTGAGTCAAACTCTGCAGACCAATCAGAGGCAGAGATGACAGCTGATTGGACGACAGGTCGCTGCAGAGAGAGGAACAAATAACCAATCATTTACTGATATCACAATGTAATTACTGTAAATAAACATACTACAAGGAGTTTTTAATTGATTATGAAGTTTAATAATTTAATATTAATGTCTGCCACCGGTCGGATTCCCCTTGAAATCAATGAAAGGGGGTGCCAGAATCAACACAAAATAAACGTTCATTTTAGCAACTTTAAGTAGAATTTTGAAGTACTTTATTTATCTATTATTTATCCTATTTTATACTTTTGAGGCCACTACAATTATCTGATGGCTTAAGTTACTCTACAGGTTAAAACTTTACATTAAAACATGATAATCTAACAAATTGCAGTGTTACTAAGATTAAACTAACCTGTTTGGCTCGTTACAAAAACAGCAGCTGTTATCTTTTAAAACCAGAGAGACATTTTCTACAAGCTGCTCGCTCTGCCAGCTACTCACATGTTTTCATTTAAGTAACTGTTCAAGTCTTAAAGAGGTAAAAGTTTCCAATATTTTCTTTAAAAAAAAACAGCAAAAATTAAAGAGAAGTCCAAAAACTGAAAACAGATTTGTGTATCAGAAGTTAGTTTTTCTTCTTTCCTCCTCTCAATATATTTTATTTAGTTTATTTTATTAAACATTATTTATTGTTATACCTTTAAATCTATTTTATTGTCATTTTTACCTTTGTGTTATATTTCAAATTTTAATTTTAATCTTATCTAGTTTTTATTTCTCTCTGTTATTGTCTCCATTCGGTCTTATTATTGGCTCCCCTGTAAACGTAGTTAAACTGTATGAAAGTACAAATACAGTTTAACTGATTGATAATCATCATCTCCAGGATTCCCAAGGAATTACTTTCCAGGAATTATTCTTGACAATGCACAGCGGCTTGCTCACAAACAGGAGTTTATCCAACACTGCAACATAGACCTTTTTCACAGCAGCCATTCCAACATGAAACAGTCAGGTAAACACAGTGATACTAGAGATACTAATTAAGGCTCTGTTCCATTTAGTGTAGCAGAGCCTTTGCAGTGAGCCAACATGCCCCCTCAACTTTAACTGGTAACACCTGTGTTTACCCTATTATTTCATGTCAGAATAGCTGCTGTGAAAAAGGTCTATTGTCTTACAGCTCTCCTCTAACTGTAACAAAACCAATAAAAATGTAAGATTATTTCCAGGATATTTGGTAATTTTAATCAATTTCCAGGTTTTCCAGGACAAATAGTGACCCCTGAGATTTTATCTGGTGACCCTACAGAGGGACCCGACCCCTAGTTTAGGAACCACTGGACGAAGTTAGCTTCTGCAACTGAGTATTTTTACTTAAAGGGACAGTTCACCCTAAAAATGTCATATGTTTCCTCTCACCTGTATCATTATTTATCCATCTAGGTTGTTTGTGGTTGCTGAGTTTTAGAGATATCAACTTTCTCTCCAATATAATAGAACCATAAATATTTCCCATATTTTTGATTTTTTTTTGGCACAAAGCTTAAGCTTGAACCCCTCACGGCTCTATTTGTAGCCCGACCACATCACGTTCAGGCCTCAATAACAACTTTAAGTCAAAGATCTGATTAGTTCTCAGTGCCGCCGCCGTCGCGGAGCCTCGTTTTTGTAACAACCAGTAAAGACTCTTTGGTGATAATGAGGTCGTCATGGTTACGCAGTCTGGTTACTCACAGTTTGGTCAGAGCCGGCAGAGCAGAGAAAGAGTTCGGCTTCACTGACGTCAATCTGTTCCACGATAAGTCCCTAAAGAGAGAGAGAGAGGCAGTCAGGGAGCTGAACCAGCAACCAGTGACCTCTGGCTGCTGACCTCATGTTTACCGTTATGTTGGCGTGTTAGTGGATTAAAACAAAAAGCACCACGAGATCTCATTTAACAGCCGGTCTTTGTTTCTAATCCTGGGATAAACGGACGTCTGTGGATATTATAATGCTCTTATTTCTATAATACGATAATAAAGTGAGTTATAATGTTCAGAAAGGCATGACGGAGAGTGGAGGACGTGGAACAGCTTTAATATTGTAGTCACTTTCAAGTTTTTAGTTGAAAAGGAAACTTAGATTACAGTTAGTCTCATAATCCACTTTAAATATGTTTATTATATATTTATATATATTTATTTGACAACATTTGTTACTTTTCTGGCAGTATCAGTTGCATTAGTCGCAGTATAAGTTGCAGTATCAGTAGTATTAGTCTCAGTATCAGTCGCAGTATCAGTCGCAGTATCAGTAGTATTAGTCTCAGTATCAGTAGTATCAGTCGCAGTATCAGTAGTATTAGTCTCAGTATCAGTCGCAGTATCAGTAGTATTAGTCTCAGTATCAGTCGCAGTATCAGTCGCAGTATCAGTAGTATTAGTCTCAGGATCAGTCGCAGTATCAGTAGTATTAGTCTCAGGATCAGTCGCAGTATCAGTAGTATCAGTCGCAGTATCAGTAGTATCAGTCGCAGTATCAGTAGTATTAGTCTCAGTATCAGTAGTATCAGTCGCAGTATCAGTAGTATTAGTCTCAGTATCAGTCGCAGTATCAGTAGTATTAGTCTCAGTATCAGTCGCAGTATCAGTCGCAGTATCAGTAGTATTAGTCTCAGTATCAGTCGCAGTATCAGTTGCAGTATCAGTAGTATCAGTCGCAGTATCAGTAGTATCAGTCGCAGTATCAGTAGTATCAGTCGCAGTATCAGTAGTATTAGTCTCAGTATCAGTCGCAGTATCAGTTGCAGTATCAGTAGTATCAGTCGCAGTATCAGTAGTATCAGTCGCAGTATCAGTAGTATTAGTCTCAGTATCAGTCGCAGTATCAGGAGTATTCTGTGTACATTCCTGACTTGGAGCCAGACTATAGCATCATACCTGTCCCATCAACAACCAGACCACCTGGATCTGTGTGTGTGTTTCCATGTGGAAGTGTTTAAAGAGGGCATCCTCGGATCACTGCTCAGGATCTCCAGCCTAATTAAACCTGCAGACTGTGTGTGTGTGTGTGTGTGTGTGTGTGTGTGTGTGTGTGTGTGTGTGTGTGTGTGTGTTCGTACAGAGAGCGTAGTGACATCAGACCGTGGAAGGTGTTCTCCTCCAGTTCCTGTATCTCGTTATGGTGCAGATCACTATAATACACACACACACACACACACACACACACACACACACACACACACACACACACACACACACACACAGATATTTCCATTACATCACGTTTATCAATCTGTTTTACAGCACAGCAGAGAGTTTTGTTTCTGAGCGATCTGATTGGTTGAGAAAATACAGTACAACGGTGCTAATTATTCCCATAATTCACAGCTGGCTGTACTTTATCGGTTGCTATGGTAACTGTTAAGAATACAGTGACTGTGAAGCGGATCAGATAGCTGCGCCTTAGCGGCGTTACAGCCGACCTTTTTCCTTAAGGGACCCCGTTTATCTGTCACTGAGTAAACTGATTATATTCAACACACACAGAACAGCTGATAAACTGCACAATGAACCCAAACAGTGAACACAATAACTGCAGGAAGCTGCTGTGAAACCGCAGATTTGGACGCATTTTCAGCATTTTCAGCATTTTTTCAGCATTTTTTCTGATATTTCTTTTCTGTATTATGCTTTTTTTATTTTATTCTTAACAATCATAACAAGCTTAACAGGCTGCTTTTCTTCTCCTCTGATTGTTCTGATACAGTTTGTGTTCAGGTCATCAGAGTTTAGATATTAAATAAAACACTGTAATGCAGTTATTAAGTTATTTTAACACAGAAAAATTTATGAAAAATCCAGATTACATCTAAAATTTTAAACTTAATTTTGTAAGAAGAAGTACTTTTTACAGTAATACAAATAGAAATTCACTAAAAAACTAAAGCTACTTAATGAAGAATGTTTTAACTTACAAAATAGAGTTAGTTTTACTTAAATCTTTCAACGTAATCAGTTTTTTTGTTAAATTAACTTATCTGGTTTTACAGTGTAATCTAAACTTTTAAAATAGTAAAAAGTTTCTTTTAGTTTTCTTCACAGAAATAATGAAATACTGAGATATAAATAATACGATATAGGCCTACTGTGTATATTTTTTTAGTTTTCGAACACCCTTTGAAGCCCCTAGCGTGGATCGAGACCCACAGGTTGGGAACCACTGCTTCCTGTGGTACAGTGGACAGAGTCAAATGAAAAATCATTTTAAAAAGTAAAACTCACATCTTCTGAACGCTCTCACAGCCGGAGAAACTGGGAAGAGTCTGGATCTGATTATAGGAGAGATCGCTGCGGAGAGAAAGCTTCAGTTGTCATCACAGTTCAAAAGTCCAGAACGCAACTGAACGCATCACAGCGCGGCAAGTCAACAGGAGCTCACAGCGGACGGAGATCAATATTCAAACATGTTAAATGAAGATCTCCGGCCTCACATATTGTTCTACTTAGCAGCTCGACTCCAGGGACTAAAATATCTCAACAACGAGGTGATGGATGGTGGCGAAATTAAACAAACAATCAGGATAAATGAATACCTGCAGATACTATTTATTATATTTATCATTATATATTTATATTTGAACTCACAGCAGCTGAAGTTTTGGAAGCTGTTCACACACCGAACTGGGCAGAGAGGTGATCCAAGCTCCTGTGATGGTCCTACACACACACACACACACACACACACACACACACACAAACAGGCAAAATAAATATGGCACATATAAAAAGCATTATGATGCATTCAGGTGCATCAATAGTGTTTTATAAAATTGTTTTATGGGGTGTTCAGGAACATTTAAAAACCATAATGGTGTGTTCAGGTGCATGGGGAGTGAATTTGTTTACACAATGGTGCATTCAGGAACACTGTGACTGTATGTAGATGTCACTAGGTAAGATATGATGTGTTCAGGTGCATCAAAGTTGTATTATGATATGCTTAGTTGAACAATGGTGTGATCAAGTGTATTTAAGGTATATCATATTGTACAATGTTGTGTTCAGGTGACTTCTGGTGGGCTGTAGTGCATTCAAAAAGTATTGTGGTGTGTTCAAATGCAACAAAAGTGTATTACATTCTACTACGGTGTGTTCAGGTGCATTTAAGGTGGAACTAAACTGGAAATAGAATAAAATAAGTGATAAAACCTCCCCAGATGTTTGTTATTAGTGCTATTATTGCGAACTCTAATGAAACCTACACTGTTTGATGTTAAAGGAAAGCTAGTTATGCTACAATTAGCCACATTCCCCTCAGTTCGATGCCCTGTTGAGACAGGATGCGGAGGCGTACGGGAACATCTCGGAGCAGAGAGCTGAAGAATGTGCGTCAGTTTGTTTGGTTGGAGTTTTTATTTCCACCTACTGGTTCAGTGTGAGGTTACCGTTAAACACACGCTGCTTCCACAAACGAGGTTAAACGGAAAAATACAAGAAAATAAACACTGCGAAGGTGTTTATTATGACACGGAAAACTGGGTCACAACAAGGAGGAGAAAAAAAAAAGTGGGTTTTAATTTCAGGCCGAGCTGCAGAAAAATAAAGTTAGAGTCTGTCAGATGGAATAATAACTGCAGCGTATTAATAACAGCAGTTTGATTGGAGGTTCGGCTCTGAAAACACACACTGATGTCGGCTACAACAGCAAACACACTCGGATATGAAGCATTCCTCTGTGTGTGTGTGTGTGTGTGTGTGTGTGTGTGTGTGTGTGCGTGTGTGTGCGTGTGTGTGTGCGTGTGTGTGTGTGTGTGTGTGTGTGCGTGCGTGTGCGTGTGTGTGCGTGTGTGTGTGTGTGTGTGTGTGTGTGTGTGTGTGTCTTACAGGCTTTCCAGGCTCTTGGTTCCTGTCAGATCTGGAAACTCGGTGAGATCTGCGGCTCCGTTCAGAGAGCTGAGGAACAGACGGACAGTTTGTGTTGGTTTCAGAGCAGAGAGACGCAGTTTGGTGACGAATACAGTAATACAGAGGAATATTTCCCCCCTTTCATTCAGTTTGTGTTTACATTCTTTGTGTAATTAGCGTCTGATTTACTGAGGCAGCGGATAATTACTGCATCAGACTTCTGGTTTTCGTTCTGTGGCCGAAGGAGAGCTCAGAAATCAGAGGAGGGATTTGTCTGAGAGGTGCAGCGATGCCAGAGGTGGCAAAAGTACAAACGTTCTCCTCAGTGAGTGCCACCACCAGTGACGTCACCGCTGACTTTTCATATGGGGTACACAATAAATAAATAAATAAATAAACTGCCTAAAAATAAATACTTTGAATGCAATTTGCTGCGTCATAATCTCACAGTGTTCGTAGCTCCGGGAGGTTCTGAAAGGCAGATCGTCCAACAGACTGGATCGGGTTGTCATAGAAAAATCTATAAAAACACAAACAGATCCATCAGATCGCACTTCGATAACAGTGTGGCAACATATTGGATGATTAGCAACTAAAATTGATCATATTATGAAGTTTCATTTGTAGAAACGTCACATTTTAATGATTATGAAATTGATTAATTAGATATACAGACTCGCCTTTCAACAACAGGGCAGGTCAAGAAATAAAAAGATGAGATATAAAAAAAACAAAAAGCAATATAAAGATTTTAAACACAAAACCATCCCCACTCAAGGTCCCCTTACATTGTTTTTCCCCGAGCTTTCAACTGCAACACACAGTCTCAGTAGCTCTAATGATCTTTGAACCCAACCTGGACGAGAAGTTCAATACAGTTGAAAAGCCCCCTTTAAAAGAAAACCTAGTAAGTGGACTTTGATCCATTAGATGAGTCAGAGGTACCCACATGGTGATGAGCGAGGGGTTCCCGGTGAAGGCGTGCTCCGGGATGGACTGGATGTTGTTACTATGGAAACCACTAAACAGGAAACAGAACAGAAATTAGTTTTTCCTCCATCGGTCATTCCTGATCCATAATCGGTGGAAAATCCTTCATGTAAAGGTCCAGAGTGTAACATTAGGGATCTATTGTCAGAAATATTATATAATATTTATAGGTATGTTTTCTTTTTGTATTTAATCACCTGAAAACAAGAATTTGTTTCCTTAGAATGAGTCATATATTCTACATATACAAATAAAGAACACTGAATGCAAATGCGATGCAAAAATAAAAATAAAATCTGTTTGTTTTTTTAGTCCAGGTGAAATTAAAAATGTCCTCAGTTATATTGTTCTTCTAATTAACAATTTATAACAAAACATTCACAAAAACTCAATTTAAAAAAAAATTCAATCATATTTACTTCCTGTGAAACTAAATGTGACGCGTGTTTACGTCAGCATGAACTAACTGATTTCAACCAATAATATCCTGACATTCACCCGTCAATCAATCTTCAACTTTTAGCGACACAGAGCGAAGATTCACACACAAACTGGATCAAAGTGGATCATAAAGAGCCGGTCTCATCGTCCTGGATACGGGAATGTTGTGTTTTTCAGTGAAACACGGAAGTAGTTCAGACTCACAGTTCCTTGAGGTGACTGAGCGAGCGGATCGCCGTCGGAAACTCGACCAGACTGTTGTAGTTCAAATCCCTGAGAGAGAGAAAGAGAGGGAAAAGTTATAAATGACAAAGAACATACACACACACACACACACACACACACACACACACACACACACACACACACACACACAACACACACACACACACAGACTGGTAATACTGGTGCTAGTCTGGAATTGTCAGCTCTAGACTGCTAATACTAAACTCCGTACTGGGAACAGTCCCATCTAGACTGGGAATACCAGACACATACACTGAATGGTGAGCTCTGGACCAGTAATAACAGGAGGAACTTGGAATATTTGGTTTAAATCTGTGATATCAGCTTTTAAAGGGAATACCAGACCGGCACTGGTAATAGCCAGACTGGGAATACTAACTGTATAGTTGGAATGAAAGCTCTAGACGGGGTGTATCAGATTGAGTTGTCCTAGAATGGGAATACCAGCTCTACTCGGAATTCAACTGCTAGACGGAGTACCAGATCCATATCCATATACTGGGAACGGTAAAAGCCAAATACGTACTGGGAATGGTTTGTTTTAGACTGGAAATGTCAGCTCTAAACTGGGAACGTTTTAGCTCTGGGGATCTCTATACTGGGGATTGTCACATCTAGACTGGGAATACCGGATACATCCAGCTCTAGATAGGGAATTATCTCCAGACTGGTAACACAGCGACATAATGGGAATGCCAGCTGTATACTGGGAATAATAGCTCTATAATGGAAAGGCCAGCTCCACAATGGTGGGAATGTCAGCTTCAGACTGGGAAAGTGTTTCATGTAAATGTTTGTGTTTAAGCTCGATGTTTAGCTTAATCTTTTTTTCCGTCTTTTCGGTTTATTAAAGAAACATTTAACTGTGCCACGCTCTTTTCTTTCATCACCACCAGAGACTAGAGCATTCTCCGAGCCAACACATGGCTTCAATTAGGTCCTCTCATCCATCTCTGGGATGCAGGTGGCTGTTACACACACACACACACACACACACACACACACACACACACATGCTCCGTGGAATGAAGCTGCCGCATTGTGAAAATACCATTAAATTGAAATTGCTTCAGTCTGGTGCTGAGTGTGTGTGTGTGTGTGTGTGTGTGTGTGTGTGTGTGTGTGTCCAGAGGATGATTTGTAACAACAATAGCTTTCCGCCAAACTATTATTGATGGAATTTGGAAGGATATGAGTGGATGAGAGCTGAGAGGTTTCTGATGTAGTCAGTTTAAGGGGGCTCATGGGAGATCCAGAAGGGTTTTGGAAAATCTTAATTTTTATAATGTCACGCTGTAAATGGTGTCTGCTGATTGGGTTCAGTAGGTTATGTTGGAGGGTGGAGGAGCGTCAGGAGTCTTGCATGTAGGATAATGTCAGGTATCGCCGCTGGGAAGCTCAGTGTGGACGGTTACTGTAAACAGCCGACACCTGTCACTCAAAGCAGCCACGCTCTTAATTATTCATAACTTTAATTAGCTTTATAGTCGACTAGCAAGAAACATGAACCCAGAAATGTTGAGTACCCCAACGTTTTATGTTAGAAATGTAAAGTTTGGGTCTCCAGCATATAGAAACTGCCGGATGCTAACTTGTATATGTTGGTCAATTAGCATTAATTAGCATAACCACCAATGTAAACAACAGTTTAGCCGATTTGGAGAATATAGGATATATATATATATTTATATATGGTTTTTGGGGTTATTGAGGATGCTGAATCTATTTCTGACATTTTCAAAATACCAAATGGCTGTTTAAACCCGATGTGGCCATATTTCAACTCCCATGTTTATTTCTGCTGTAAAGACATTTTAAGATGAGACCTTATGGAGACTGACTGACTGCTGGAGCCAGCCTCTAGTGGCCGTTAGAGGAACTGCAGGCTTAATTTCTCAGCTACAGAAGTTGCTGTGTATCCAGTTTAACTCACTCTGAAAGGGGACGGTAAGGAGGCTAAATAACGCTCCAAAGTTGGGCTAAATTTAGAGGGAAAAAACTGGCACGACCATTTTCAAAGGGGTCCCTTGACCTCTGACCTCAAGATATCTGAATGAGAATGGCGTCTATGGGTACCTACAAGTCTCCTCTTCACAGACACTTTATGCTAATCCCATGCATAAATTGGGAATGACTGGAAAGCTGAGACTCTCTTGTTCCCAACCAGTCAAAAATAGTGTGTGAGGTTTCTTCACCACCAATTTCATCTCTTACTGGAGCAGGAAAATCCTAATTTGGGCAGCAGGGGCGACGCTGAGGTGGGCAAGAGACGGGGAAACTAGATCCCGATGCTCTCCTACAACCTGCGTGTGTTCCCCTTAAAGACTGAGCTGAGCTTGTTGGATTAATTTATTTTTTTCTGTTTTTATTTCCGTTTCCTTCCTCTGTTTGTGTTTGTAGGTTCAGATGAACATGAGTCCCTGGTGTGGTTTATTATTGCTGATCGTACAGGTACACAGCCTCATGCTGCCTCTGTGTGTGTGTGTGTGTGTGTGTGTGTGTGTGTGTGTGTGTGTGTGTGTGTGTGTGAATAGTAATTATGATTAGCATACAGCCAGGGCCACACACAGAGCCACACACACACACATATATACAGAGGTATTTCCAAATGAAGGCAGTCTGTGTTTGTGTTTAAACCTGCTTCTACGGTTGACTGAGAAAACAGAAACATTTCTACACACACATTCCTCAGATTTTACACACACACACACACACACACACACACACACATAAACACACAAAGGTTAATCTGCCCTGACTCCATCTAATATCCAGAAATACTAAAGCCAAATGCAAACCACTGGGGGCAGAAACAGCAGCCGATATCTTACATTTAAACTTTACTTTCACTCTTATACGGAGTCTTTTTTTGTTTTTTTCCGGACTGATTTTGATCCGTTTTGGGCGCCGTGGTATCAAAGCAGGACTCAGCTGTCAATCATGATGTGAAACCTCCTTTTTATAGCTTCAAATAATAAAAAAAATGAACATCAGAGTGATAAACAGTACGTAAAATGGCAGATTTAGGATTGGAGATGTTTTGGGGGAGCTGTCATGTCGTCCATCTTTGTATATGTCGATGGTTTGAAAGGTGATGTTTCTACAGTAGCCCAGAAGGGACGAACGAAACACGTTTTTCACATGTTTTGCAGCCACCATAGTTTCTAATTCATACTTGTTGGCCAAAAAGCTTCACAATTCTTTGTATTTTAACACCTTGGTGGTCCAAAATGGAAGCAGCTAGCTACCAGATGCCATCCAAGCCGACGTTCACATGTTGTATCTCTTATTAGCCAAGTATAGAAATAGAAAGGGTGTGGAAAAGGGGGGATTTTGTGGCTTTAAGCAGCAGTTAGTGTTGGAGCTGTTGGTTCTCATGGTGGGGTTTCCAGGTTTGACTCGACTGTCAAAACAAGCAAATGTGACAAAGACTTTGTGCTGCTGAATCCAGGCTTTTCAAGGAGGCGCTTACAACCAAAGTAAACAGTCCCGTATTAGAGCAAAGAACGTTCACTTTTTCACATTTTGGCACCATTTGTCCATGTCATAAATGACTTTATAGTTTTTTTATCTCATTAATATCTAACTACTGTCACAGCTCACTACAGGATGGATTGGGGACTAGCTTGTTAGCTCTGAAGCTAGGCTAAACACACCTGGACCACATGTTCCAGAGCATTGTTTGAATAAATCATATCAAGTGTTCTTTACAAATGTATAAATTAAACCTCTCTGTCATCTCCCTAACCCTTCACCCTGACCCCAACTCAACCCTGACTTCTCCAACTCCTCCCCAAAACACACACACACACACACACACACACACACACACACACACACACACACACACACACACAGAGAAACTCACAGCGTCTCCAAACTGTGGAGTCCGTGGAAGCAGTTCGTTCCCATGGAAACGATCCTATTGTTGTTGAGATGCCTATGGAGAGAGAGAGACTGATGGACTAATGAAGCAGACAAAGAGAGAGAGTGTGTGTGTGTGTGTGTGTGTGTGTGTGTGTGTGTGTGTGTGTGTGTGTGTGTGTGTGTGTGTGTGTGTGCGTGTGGTTGCGTGTGTGTGTGTGTGTCTTTTTAAAAGGGGCCCCGGGGCCTCTCAAGAAGGCTTTTTTTCTTTTGGTAATTTCATGCAAATTAGCTTCAAACCGATTGGACAAAAGAAATGACAGCAGACTTCAATGCTGCCGCGCTGAATGCCATCACACACACACACACACGCACGCACACGCACACACACACACACACACACACACACACACACACAACACACACACACACACACGCACACACACACACACACACACACACACACACACACACACAGAGTTTTGCATGTTTTAAGGAGTTATTACAGACAGTCACTGTTATGGTTAAACTTAATGCAGCAACAGCTCCTGCACACACACACACACACACACACACACACTTTTGACCCTGCAGCCGTCATGAGTTTAGCTTACAGGTCTGATTGGAACACATTTTATATAAATCAATTAACTAACCATGTGCCCAACTAACTAATCTATTGCAAACTAGTTGACTAATGTTAACTGTTGGCTAGCTACCTTATGGGTCAGACAGCCATAAACTAGCCAACCAACAGGCTAATCTAATAATTAACCAACTGACTAATCTACTAACTTACCATCTGACTAACCACTGGGCAGAAATACAAAATGACTAACCAAATGACTGACCTACTAGTTAACTTACTTGTAAACCAAATTGCTAACCAGCTGGCTAACTTACATGCCAGCTAACTGACTAACCCAAAAGTTAACTTACTGGCTAATTTCTCCTAACCAACTCACTAACCAGCTATCTTACTACTAACCTGCTGTCTAACGCACTTCTAAACCAAAAAGCTAACTAAATGACTCATTCGCTGACTGACTAACCTTCATGGCTAACTTAATACTGGCCAACTAACCTATTAACTATAACTTACTAACTGCTAACTACCTGACTACTCTGCTACAAAACAGCTAACTAACTGAGTAACCATAATGGATTACTAACTTCTAACCAACTGACGAACCTACATGACTAACTCACCATTAAACAACTGATTTAGACTTCTTGGCTAACTTACAACTGACCAACCGACTAACCTATTCAATAACTTACGCGCTAACTAACTGACTAACCTACCGGCTTACTAAATGGCTAACTGACTTGCTGCCTCACTACTGACCAACTGACTAACCTTCGTGACTAACTTACAACTGACCAACCGACTAACCTTCATGACTAACTTACAACTGACCAACTGACTAACCTTCATGACTAACTTACCACTGACCAACTGACAAATCAATTGGCTAACCATAATAATCCTAATTCATATTGTTATTTTTCTCCTTTTCCTTATTCACATTCTCCTCCACTATCTTTTCTTCCTTTCTCCTCATCTCGTCAGTTTCCTCTCCTCCTTCTTTCCTTTATCTTCCTTATACCTTATGGGATTGTAATACTGTTCCAGGTATTTGTCAGGTGTTACCAGGGAAACAGAGTTTTGGCTTATAAAAAAACTTTATATTTTCATTGCAAAACCTCCTGAAGAACAGAGAAGTAAAAGCAGAAACTCGAAGTAAGGACAGAGTCTGTGTGAGTCCAAACACAGCAGGTGACTTAAAGATATGGTTTATACACAGAAGGATCCATAAGTCAGTGTTTTAATGTGATTTCATGGAGATAAATCAGAAACATTGCTTTTAATCTGAACTCAGTGAGATAAATCAGAAACATTGCTTTTAATCTGAACTCAGTGAGATAATATATTTAATTTATTAACCATTTTTGTTGGACAGAGTTTAAAATGTAAAAATATGAGGCCTCTAGCAGCCATTTTAAAGCTTCTCATCTACCAACTCATCCATTCGTCACCCTCAACAGAAACCTTGCTGATCGGCTGATTGAGCGTTCCTAAAATTAACCAGAAACATGTTATGAGTGTTTGTGTCGTACGTACAGCACCACCAGGCGACCGAGCTTGCTGAAGGCGTGATCCGGGACGTGGCTGATGTGGTTGAGGGCGAGCGTCATGGCCTGCAGGGCGGGCAGCTCGCTCAGCGCCTCCACCGGCACCTCCGTCAGAGAGTTATCGTCCAACCACAGGTGACGGAGGGAGCGCAGGCCGGAGAAACAGCCGACGGGAACGCCGGAGATGTGATTGGCATCCAGGCGGCTACGGAGAGAAATACAAAGAGTGGAAGTTTACATTTAAGTAAATTCATTCATAGTACAACCACTGAAACTGTGTGTGATTACAGGTTGATCATCTGTTGACCGTACGTTAACTTTCTGGCTCGTAGTTGAGCGGAAAGACGCTTTAAAATCTCTTGTTGCCAAGTCGTATCTAAGGTTCGTCCTGTTTACTGGAGTAGTGAACAACATTTAAGATAAGATAAGATAAGATGTTCTTTTATTGATCCCCCTTGGGAGAAATTCAGAAATTTGCATTGCATAAGAACATTATGGGATTGTAATACTGTTCCAGGTTATTTGTCAGGTGTTACCAGGGAAACAGAATTTTGGCTTATAAAAAAAACCTATATACTATATATAAAATAACTATATTTTCATTGCAAAACGCATGAAAATGATATACCATGATATAATCAGGATAATGCCCTACAAGTTGTCCATTATCAGGGAATAATGTACTGTGCGTCATCCATTAATTCCTGATAATGGACACCTCATTGTGCATTATCCCTTAATTTTTTTTTTTTAACTTATTGTTAAAAATACTGTCAAATTATATCAATTCAGGGATTATCAGGAATTAATGTACTTTGCATCATCCATTAATTCCTGATAATGGACACCTTGTCGTGCATTATCGCTTAATTAAATTTTTTGGGCTATTTTTTCTATACATTTATATATTTAGAAATAGCTTTTTATTAATGCAAGCACACTGATTCTGTCTTTTATGTTTTATTGTTTGTATTTTGTATTTTTTGTCATTTCTGTTTGATTTCGTTTATTATCATCATTATTATTATTTCTTTATTAAGGTGGTGTTGTTAGCCAAGAAAGCACAGTGTTTTTCTGTGTACAAAGTAAAAACAAAAGGCATAAAAACAGGTGGGTGGAAACGAAATACTGACAGAAAACATCTACTTTTTCCAACACAAGAGACTTTGAGATGAAGTGCTCTAGTTGCAGAATATAAAATGGGAAGCTTCACCTCACTCTGAAGCAGTTTAAGAGGAACATTAGAGATCAAGTGTTTGAACAGCACTGAGGAATGATCGGCAGGCTGCTCGAGCACCACTCAACCAGCCAACAAGCTCTCAGGCCAAACGAAGGTATTTTAATGAGCGCAGACTTATTGCCGAGTGTGTGCGTCGGACAGTAAGCAGCTACAGTCGGGAATGAAGAAAGGACATTATTTTTAAGCACTGGCTTGTTATTTTTGTGAGACCGCAAAATAATTTCTTTTACGATCACATGAAAACAGATTCTGTGATCTCAACTTCATTAATACGATTTACTGAAATTGAATTCTTGTGACCATTAAAATAATGTTTTTGGGTGCATGTGGAGATCATAAAAATATGACTCAGTGGATACGAGACGACCATGTAGAAACCAGTTGTGGAAAGTAATTAATAGAGGTTCACCGATGCCGATTTTAGAGGGGAAAACTAATTGAAAACTGGTGATTTTGCACTGATATTACTCTGCAAAGGTACTCTAAAGGTCGCTTTCTTAAACAAATAACTTAATTAAAGAAGATTTAAGTTCAATAAATATGCCACAGTATTGTAGATCAAACCACGCTCTGCTGGCTAAACTTTGACACCAATATATTACTACTAGCATTGTTTTGTGTGCATTATATATCGGATAACATATACTGTACACGATATGTCTTTGACAGGTTAATACTGGCCTATAATGTCGGCAGATTGATGTCGTATAGTGTACTTTAGTGCGATTTTGTGATACTTGAGTATTTTCCATTTTATTTACTTTATACTTCCACTCCACAAGGTTATTAAAACAAAAGACTGAAACCACGAATGAAAAATCAATTTAGATAATATATATATATAATAATATATAATACTGAAATAAAAACAAAATACAACCGGCAACATATTGTGTACTTACAAAACTAACTTAAATAAAAAATTCTAGGTCATATTTGTCATGAGGATGAGGAGACATTGGTACATATGTTTACTGAGACTGAACTTAAGTCTAACCCCCCTGACAAATTTCATATTATAACAAAACAAAACACGAAAAACAAATAAAAACTAAACATTTTCAACAACAAAACTAAACTGAAACTGAACTGAACTGAAAATAAAAATAAAAACTAATAAAAAAACCACAACCCTATCAGTGATTTGGGTGAAACTGGATCATATTTTATGGAGAGACTGCTAATGTAGCTGCCGTTAGTGTACGCAACTGAACGGGGCTCAGCAGCCTCCCAGTGAACACAACCGCAGAGACAGACAGAGGACAGTTTGACGACAGCGGTACCGAGGTGATTTATGAAGTTTCCAGATGGACTTGTTGCTTAAAGAAGCTAACAGCAGCTAACAGTCTAGTTTGGTTAATGTTAGCCGACTTACCAAAACCGACAATAAAAACCACCTCAGTACTTTATTCCCTGTCGTCACACTTGGCCCATTTTAGGTGTTCAGGTAGTCGTCCTCAGGTCATGCAACGTAAACATGCATGTCCCTGTCTGTCTGTCTGTCTGTCTGTCTGTCTGTCCTGACAATACCTCCTCTGTTCACATACAGAGAGAAGAGAAGGATGGGACTTCACATAATGGTCCATCAGATAAATGAGAGAGAGAGAGAGAGAGAGAGAGAGAGAGAGAGAGAGAGAGAGAGAGACCTTAGACAAAAAGACAGACTCAGACGTCTCCATTCTTATACCCTTATCTACACAACACACACACACACACACACACACACACACACACAAGGTACAGTTTCAGTATAATTACTGCGCGTTATCAGACTGAGGGAACACACTGTCTGGACTACATACATTAATATACTGGTCAGTGTCTGTGTGAGAGATTCCTTTCCACCAAAGGGTAAAACGAGACAAAAGGATGAGTGTGTGTGTGTGTGTGTGTGTGTGTGTGTGTCTCACAGCGACAGCAGGTTGTGCAGGTTGTTGAAAGCCTCAGCTGGAACCGACTTCAGCTGGTTGTTCTGAAGCATTCTGGGAAAAACACACAACAAGTAAACTAATGACGGAGAGTAAAAAAGAGAGTTCTTAACAGTTTGGTTTCACTTTCTTTCTGAGAGTTTGATGTTCAGATTGATACCATTTGATGTCTGTATGGTAAATATGACGGTATAGCCAATAGCTGGTTAGCTTAGCTTAGCATAAAGAGTAGAAACAGAGGGAAACAGCTAGCCTGTTTGCTGGTTGTTCTGACACATTCAGAATCATTACCGCTGTTTCTGTTAGCATTTAGCAGGCAGCTGTTCACATATATATATTTAAATTATTAAATTATTTTAATTGATGAACTTTAATAAGGATTTTGTAATATTTGTAGTATGAAAAGGTAATAGTAGTAACTATAGCAGTAGAAGAGTTATTACGAGTTAAAAAATAGTAATTTTACAGGTATTTATGTAACAGTTGAATATAAAAACATGATATATGAGCCAACAGTGAACAGAAATAACTGGTTGATATGAGTCAACATGTGAGTGAACAGAAGTGTTGTTCCAAACCGCAGAAACTCTTCATTAAACTGAGACACTCGTGAAATCTTCAAAGTGTCTCTGTGAATGATTAGCACCAGTAAACATACCACACATTATTACAGTGTGTGTGGGGGGGCTTGTATTGCTATCATTCTGAGGACCAGTTTTAGTTTTAAAGGACATTTTAGCTGGACCTCAACTTCTTCATTTGATGGTTAAGACTCTGGTTTTCAGGCTCAGACTAGTTCACGTTAGGGTTGGGATGAGGAATACCACACATTATTACAGGATGTATTACTGCTTGTTTTACAACACTTCTGGGGTCCAAACACCGTGAAACCACTATGCTTGCGGGGTCCGACAGGTTTGTGAGGACCACAAGTTTAAAGGTCCGTTTTAGGGTTAAGGGTTTGGGTTTAGGGTTGTGATGATTCAGGGTAAGAGGCTAGGGAATGCATTATGTCAGCAGTTCCCAACATGGGGGTCAGGAGCCCCACTATGGGTCACCAAAGCTTCACAGGGGGTCGTGACACCTTCTTGATTTAAAAGGGTGTAAGAAAGATTAGAAAATATACACAGTACAGTTAAAATGGTTCATTTTGCAGTTAATCAGTTGTTTTGTATTGTTATTGTTAGACACTGAATATAATAAAAAATAATATATAAAATATAAAATGTATTCAGTTTAGTTTAGGATACAAACAGGATCCTTAAAGAAAAGAAGTGGGAACCAGTTCTCCACGGATGCAGTTACACAAGGATTTGTGTGTGTGTGTGTGTGCGTGTGCGTGTGTGTGTGTGTGTGTGTGTGTGTGTGTGTGTGTGTGTGTGTGTGTGTACTTACAGCACTTTGAGGTTATAGAGGCCGTTGAACGCTCCTCTGGGGATGAACGACAGATCGTTTCCCGCCAAACGCCTGAGACAGACAGAGAAAGGCAGGGAGAGGGTTAAACCTCCTGATGTATGTTTGTCTTTTTTTTCCTGAAATCCACCACATTTCAGCATAAAATAACAGATAATAACTAATATATATACACAAATAATATACAGTTGCACATGAAATTTGTTCATGTGTGCATAAGAGTACCATATCTACTCACAGCACAGCCTTAAATTCCAGCTATCACAGTAATAAAATGCTTTTTGAAGCTCAGACTGTTGTTGTTGTTGACTTGGAGGTTCATAAAATACACAACTGATCTCAGACTTCCAAAGACGTCCAAATCTGCTTAAATTTGCAGGTGAATTCAGATTTTTTTCCCCCACTGTGACGTTTTGACAGCACATGTTTAAGGTTGTTGGTTGCCAGGTGTGGTGACAGATGGGTTGCAGATTGATGATCTGGCAACTTGGGTGACCCCAGACAAACTCTGAGTATGACAATTATTCACAATAAAGTTTAAAGGGGCATGCAAAGTACGGGAGATCATCTATCATAGTAGCTGTCATGGTATTGGGACTTGTAATAGAGTATTTTTATGGTGGTAAAAGAATACTTCCTCCACCACAGCCAGTTATATTTTTCTCTGGTGAGATTTGGTAAAAATAATCAATTTTACAGGTAAAATAAATCAGTAAATAGATATAAAACACATTAGAAGGGATTATACTGTACACCGTTAGCTGACACAATGATAATTTATGAATGTAAATCAATATGTTTGTTTCCCAGTAAACAGGACATGCCCAGTAAGTCTTCACCAGTAGAAAACATTGAGCTGTAATGTGTCCTGCAGCTCTGTTTGTTTTTAGAGGCCACACAGAGTTCAGCCAGTCCGCATGTACCCAGCATGCATCTCTGCGGTGTCCTATCGCCGTAGTGACGTTTCTCACGCCACGGTGACAAATATCACACACACACAGACACACATATAAACACACATAGCTGGCAGCAGAGCAGAACAGCAGTCAGAGTCATGTTCAGGTCTCTGTGAGGTCAGCTGTTCAAGGCTGAACCCTCTCTCTCTCTCTCTGGATCTGTTTCTGGCTCTCTCTACCGCTCTGTCTCCCTCCGATGTGTTTTTACGTCGTCCAGAAACTTCTGTCTGGAGAGTTTAATGTTATGAAAGTGTTCATACATGACATGACACTGCCGGTAGGTGAGGAGAGATGGGATTACATATCGTATCCTCGCAGATATCTGAGCTTGTCGCCCGCTCGGACGCCCTCACCAAGTATCATCCATCTCAAGTCTTTCATTTGCTAAGTTCATGAAGATATCTGAGGATCGAAATGTAGACAGACGGATTGGATGGAGAGCTTCAGCTCGCTTTTCAACTCCAAGACAACATATGAGCACTAAAACGTCTCAGTGTCCAACGTCTGGACGTAAGATCTCCACTCATGCTGGGAGATAAAAGACATGAATTAATTAATTCAAATCGGTTTCATCCTCCAGTCTGGACAAACGTTCAATCTGTAACACTTCCTCATTAAACAGTGTATACGCTCTGGCTCTATGTTCTATATGTAGTTGAGTTCTTCCATTATCTAAAATGTTTCCAACGATGTTCAAACTCAGAGAAATCTGTCATTTTATTCAGGTAACGCTGCGTTTCACCGGTCGCCTGTCGATGGCGTCATATCTCCTTTGTGCCTGCGTCAGCGTTGTGGTTGTCTGCCAGAAGCTGTCATACATTGACTGTTGATCCAACTCTAGATTTGAACCTGATGAAGGATTTTAGTCATCGGACGTCTGGATCTTAAGTTATCAGAGAAACAAGCTGAGCTAACGTTAGCAGCAGCTCGGCTCGCAGCCCCTCCGGGACGTCCTTTGTCTGTCCAACAGCGTGGGAGAAGCAGTGATTGTTAAGGTGGAACTGTTTTATTCAGTGTGTTTAAGGTGGACCTGCTTTATTCAGTGTGTTTAAGGTGGAACTGCTTTATTCAGTGTGTTTAGTGGTTTTAATCAGCGGGTCTGTTTGTGTTGGAGAGGAGGAGACCTCTGTGGATCATTGGGCTCCTGGTAGAAACCTCCTGAACCATGAACACTGAAGGAATCCTAACCGGGAAAAGCTGACTGCAATGACGCCAATGGTGGTGAAGACAACAACTCCCATGATCCCACGCTACTTCACCACCTTAACACACTTCCTCTGTTGTTCCTGTTTTAATGTAAAAGACCCTCTCGCAGCAGAAGTTGAATATATAAACCACCAACATCTAAAGGCTCCAGAACTGAAAGAATGGGTTAATGCAATGGTTGTTTGGTAGAATAAGAGGTGAAATAGAAGATAAGTATAAATACATCATGTTTTTCATGTATATATGTTTGTTTTGTATTTATTTTGATGTTTCTGTCATTAACAAACCTCTGTAAAGCTTTCCCGCTCCCAACCTGAAGTCTTTGATTCACACTGAGATTCCCAGACTTTCAGCAGGTGTTGAGGAAGTAAACTGATGTCACCTCCTAAACTTTAACCGAGTAAATGATGACATATCAGCAAGGAATGAACCTGTGTGTGTGTGTGTGTGTGTGTGTGTGTGTGTGTGTGTGTGTGTGTGTGTGTGTGTGTGTGTGTGTGTGTGTGTGTGTGTGTAAGAGAGACTCACAGCTCCTCCAGGAAGTGCAGGTTGGACAGAGCTCCTCCGGTCAACACTGTCAGATTATTCATACTGAGATCACTGCAGAGACACAGAGAGAGAGAGAGAGAGAGAGAGAGAGAGAGAGAGAGAGAGAGAGAGAGAGAGAGACTGTTAATGTCTCTCTACCACACCAGTCACACCTGTGCGTAGTTTATATATATATATATATATATATATATATATATATATATATATATATATATATATATATATATATGATAATAAACAGATATATGTATAATTACACATGAAGGGCTCCGCATATACAACATACAGATAGAGTTTCAAAATAAAGCTTGGGTGGTTGATACACGCTAAGTTTAGGTACAAAAACAATAATATGTTTTAAGAAAGGATCGTAAGTTTAAGTTCTGTAAGATATTTTACATACCTTACGCAACTTAAGTAAGCTAATTAAGTTTAATAGTTAATGGTTGCACTTTGGCTAAGTTTAGGTACAAAAACTACTTGGTTATGTTTTAGGAAAAGATCGTAAGTTTAAGTTGCGTACCATACCTTACGCAACTTAGGTATTTTAATTAAGTTAAAGTTTAATAGTTAACAGTCTCACTTTGGTTAAGTTTAGGCACAAAAAATACATTGTTATGTTTTAGGAAACGATCGTAAGATTAAGTTCTGTGAGATACAGGATGAACGTACATAACTTAAAAAGATGTTAACTATTACTTTTGGTTTCAAACGTTACACAAACAGATCTCCTGGAGGAAAGTCTTGCATTTGTTTGACCCATCCACCTCAACCTCCTCCATATTCTGGCTCTTTAAACTACGTCTGGCGGGTGTTTCCATAAATGACGCAGATTCTGTGTCCACTGAGTAAGCGGTAGTATTTGATGAGTTGGGATTCAGACTGAACACATTTGTTGCACTGGAGCTTTTACAAATGACTGTAAACAGAAATGACATAAAAACAACACCCTAACGCAAACATCAGAAATATAAACACTGAATTAACGGCTCATTAAAGAGACAAAGTTCATAAAGCGGCCTCAGAGAGTCTGGTATATTCAAACACAGACATCATTCAACACATTTCACATATAAAAACATTTAGTTTGACAAAGCATCCACTCAGAAACTCTCACACACACAGAAGTTTACGACTCCTTCAAAGCGCCGGTGAAAGGATCGAGTCAACACACACCTGAGTGAGAAACAAGGCAGGAGTGGAAGTTACTGGAAGGAGGCAGAAAGCAAGAAAATAAAAGAATGAATGAATGAATGAACCAGAGTTTCTCAGCCTTTTTCAGTCAGGACCCCTCAAATGTGTGTTTAATCTCAAGTGAGTAAAATAAATCTGTTTCTGTCTACAGAATAACAACCTAAACTTAACTTATTATTTGGTATTAAAATTGCACTTGGCCATATTTCAGTAATATTTCATTCAATTGTGCAGCTCTAAATCTTATTCCACTAAATTTGGTATGATACAGAAATGACTGTAAAAACAAACTATAGAAAATAAACTTCTCCCAATTTATTGTGAAAAGATTTCATTATTGGCTCGCAACCATTTTGGTTTATTAATAATAACAATAATAACGCATTTAATTTATAGAGCACTTTTCAAGAAACTCAAAGACACTTCACATGAGTTAAAAGGGGGAAAAAAAGCTAAAAACAACACACTAAGAAATTATAGCTATATCTACAACAGTCAACAGACACAAATAGGTTTGTGACGTTGTGTAATGTTGGGACCCTTTATCATGTTTCAGAGCCGTTTCCACTCTAAACTTCGCCCATTGTGTCATTTAAATCAGTGTTTGAGGCTCAACTAAGTTAAATTATCCAACATTTCACTAAACAAACAGGATCAGTTTCAGATTTGTGTCTCAAAACTTCTTCTTTTCTCTCCCATTAAACTATAAAACTATATGGGATTAGCATAAAGTTGACATCTCTGTAAAGAAGAGACTCGTGGGTAGAAGACAAAAGTGGGATAGGTGAGGATAATGGGGTGGACAATCACATTTCAGAGACTGTTTGTACGGTAATCAGTGAGGTTGTACAGGAATGATCTGGCACACGTTGTTAAATATGGGAACAATATAAATTGAGGATCTTAAAGGGTTAAAAAGACATTTTAAAAATACACTCAAAAGTCAAAACAAGGTGACATCATTATTTGTCGTATGTGTTGTTTATGTGCCACCATGACGTTCTTCCTCCTTCCCTTTCTTTCCTTATCTGAACCCGTCTATTCGCCGCTCTTTGTGCGTCTGATAACCATCGACAGGTAGCGTCTCTCCACTCAGGAGGGCTCGACGGGGTCTGAAAGCAGACAGACTGTCTCTGTCTCACACACCGAGGGCGTGTCTGCAGGTTGAATTCACCTCTTGTTAAGGAACTTTCTCAACACGCCATAAAGCCTGTTAATGTTAAGCTTTACAACGCTGTCGACAGGTAGTCTCACACACACACACACACAGACAGGTTTATTTTAGCTGAATGTTCCTTTACTCGGAGCAGACTAACAGCGTTACGGCTGATCGGATTTTACTGCTGTAACACACACAGGTTTGTGTTATGTGCTTAAAAGTGGATTTCATTGACGGCCTTCATTAGTTACCTCACTCACAATATATATTTATATGTGAGTCAGACAGAGAGTTGTTCAGTACCCAGACGGAGGCTCTGTAATGTTCTCTACATGTGGTCACATATCTTAACATAAACCACCAAAAAAAAAATCTGTTTTGTGTTAAGTTACCTTTGAGTTTTGTCAGCTAATGGTAAATTGCAGGTAGCTTAGCATCACTTTGTCCCCTTGTAGCTAATGTAATATCACAGGTAGCTTTGCCCCTCTGATATTACATTAGCTGATGTTTGATCACAGAAAGGTTAGCTCTGCTAATATGACATTAACCTATAGCCCTGCTATCTAATGTTGAACCGCAGGTAGCTTAGCATTGTTTTGTGCCCTATTGGCTGACGTTACCTCATACGTAGCTTAGCTTAGTTAATGTCTTACATCAGCTTTGTCATAAGTAGTTAAGCTAATATTACATTAGCTTTTTACCCTTTTAAGCTGTTTAGCAACTAATATCTATTTTCATTAATTAACCGGTCAAAGATTAATCAATTAAACATTTAATCTAACGTAAAGAAAATTCCCCGAGCCAAAGGTGATGACTTAAAGACTTAATTAAAATAAAAATGTACTTCTCCTTCCTGTTAGCTGAACTTTTCTAACTAAATTGTCCAGAAATCCACCTGATAACAGACTGTGACGCAGGTTTATTCTGAAAGGACGTTCTGTGTCAGCAGACGGAGAGCGATGGTTGACAAGAGTGCGTGTTGTATGTTTTGATTTGTTTTGGTCGTGAGATATGGGACGTTTCTGTATTCAGAGACACTGTAATGATGAAGATGAGGATGAGGATGAGGATGGTGGCAGTTGTGCTTTAACAATAAGGAAACACTCAGCACTGATTATCCTGCTGGCTGAGGCCTGTGATGTAATATGAGCTCATACTGTACGAACAACACCAGGACTTTTATTTTGAAACAGCTGAATGTACTCATCAGCGTCTCTGTGTGTTAGAAATAATACTTTAAATCACTTGTTTGATGAGTTGTGAACATGTTGTGGCCATTTTGGACATAGTGAGGATATGAATAGACACTGAAGAAGTGTATTATATATATAATATTACAAACTATATATATATAAATATATAGTAAAATTATTACAGAGGAAAAATTCATAATATTTAAAGATTAAAGTTGAAATATTTTGTGAATAAAGTAAAATTAAAGTAAAGAAAAAGTAGTATTTTGAGTTTAAATGGGTAATACTCTTAAAAATAAAGTCAAAATCTTATATAGAAGAGTCATAATTAAAAAAATAATAATTCCTATTTTGTGAATAAAGTTTAAAAAAAACTGTTACAACAGAAAAAGTTGTTAATATTTTGTGATTAAGTAAAAAAGATTATGATGAAAAAAGTTGTAATATTATGAAAATAAAGTTATAATGTTACAAAGAAGAATCATAATTTAAAGAGAAATGATTAGCGTGAATAAGGTAAAAAAGATTATAGGTGGAAAAAGTCAAAATATTTAAAGATTAAAGTTGTAATATTCTGTGAATAAATAAAAAAAAGTAATATTTTGAGTGTAAAGTAAAAAAGCCAAACCCCTTCAATATTTTGTAAATTAAGTAAAAATTACAGGGAAAAAAGTCAGAATAATTATTAACATTCAAGGATTCAAGGTTATTTACAATGAATTCGAATGAAATTCAGATATTAAGTAATTCCACCTATTTATTGTATATTGTTTATAAGGGGAAAAATAAAATCCCACCCTCATATAATGACACACAGACCCTCTAACAAACTAACTATGAGCCATAACAAATAATTAGTTAATTATTGGACCTTTTTCCAGCATCAAACTGATCCTGAGTCAGTTATTTCTGCATCCTGTGCGTCACAAACTTATTGTAAAAGTTCAGATCTTTGCACTGATTTAGTTCCACGTGAAGAAGAAGAGGAACGTACGAAGAACAAGAAGAATGAAAGAAAAGACGAATACATTAGCAGTGTTGTGTGTTTTTGCCCTTTTTGGTAATGACTTAGATGAAGCTGTGTGTGTGTGTGTGTGTGTGTGTGTGTGTGTGTGTGTGTGTGTGTGTGTGTTGGGGGGGGGGGGGGGGTGTGTGTGTGTGGGGGGGTTTTTTTTTCCGTCTCCTCGGGCTCGAACTGATGGATATCAGACGATTATTCAAATGGCCGCTGCCCGCAGAAAGACAAACTCTGAGGAGAGAAAGAAAAGAGAGTTGTGTAGTTTGGAGGCGTAGTGTGACAGTGAGGCCTCTCTCTGGTTTTGTCCTCTTTCATTCTTTCTTTCTGTCTTTCTTTTAGTGTTTCGGGGGCGGGTCAGCGGGGGCCCCCCGGGGCGAGAGAAGGCAGGGGGTTTATTCCGCGATCCGTCCCGTCAGTCTGCGCTGCCTCCTCCCAAAGAAAAAGATACCAACAGGATAAACAGCAGCTCTGTGCCGAGTCTGTCTGC